AACATACAATGACGTAATTAGGTATATGTTTATTTTTATGATTAATTTTTATCATATATTAATGTCTAATAGTTATAACACTCAGAACTTTTACGTCATGAATCTAATGATATTAATAGAATTTTAAATGTAATTAAAATTAATTAATCAGCCTTTATATAGAAATAGAAGAAGAATGTTACAATAGAAATTAGAGAAATTTATGGAAGATTTTACAATCTGATAGATTAAAAAATAAATTAGTAAATAGCATATGATAAAGTATTAAATGTTTTTCAATTATTTTATTTAAATCTATTGGTTGTTACATAGAAAATTTTGAGGATTTTACATTTATATGTTTTTATAAAACAAATATTTTCTGATGATAAAATATTACATATTATTTTAAAATGTAATTATAAAAATATGATTCAATATTAATATATAGATAGGATATCTATATGTAAATATAAAAATTTATTTAATAATTAATTGTTTACAACTGTTTCATGGTATTATTTTTAGAAATATACATGTATTATGTAAAATTTTGCTTCACAGAATATATTATTAATACAGGATGATATAAACATGATTGAAGAAAGTCTGCAATGAAGATATAATCAAATATTTTCCGATAGGATGAGCAGTAGTCAGGGGAGATTCAAAAACAGGTATAGAAACATTTTTTTTATGATTTGGTCTTAAAATCAAAAGTGATTAAATACAAGGAAAGAAAGGTATACACTTTACATATTGTGATTTAAACGTATATATTTATTATATTTTTGTTATATAAATGTTTTAAATTCTTAATTATTAAAACATAAGTTTCAAAGTATTGAGAAATATATTAATTTCACGATTGTAAGATATTCCAATATCACCAACGATTTACCAACAACGGAAGACAATATTTTTTGGAAGATAAATAATATATTTTTTTACTGGAAGATGTTTTCCTATTTACCATGGAAGTTACTGTTTCCTCTTCTCTTTACTCAAGATTTTATAATCTATTACATCACACGTGCGTGGAAAGTGAAAGTGTAATATAAAATAGGGTGTGTAACATGTGCGTTAAGTTGAAAATTGGACGTGCAGAGTGGACACACGAGCCGAAGGCGAGGCCAATTTCTAACTTACCGCATTTGTTACACAAATAACTATTACATTACTAAATATAAGCAAAATACATATTTATTAATATATATATTTCAACATCTTGAAATATACATACATATTTCAAAATATATTTAAAGATCATCGGAATTACAACGGCATTTCATATGCAATGATCTAATAATTCTGCCAATGTAATTTTTATTTTTGATTTATAATATGAATTCATAAGTAATCATAAAATAATTTATAATATTAATAAGCGAAAAATATTCTACTAACTATCGTTTCTAATGTTTTAATAAATACAAATTATACACATTGCACACTTTTGATGTAATATTTTACATCAAAATATTATACAACTTTTCATTGTGTTTTGCATTTGAGTCTTTTCATATCTGTTATTTAAATCAGTATACTTCGAGGTTGTAAAATATTGCTTTGTCCATAAACCTAGCGAATACTAATTTTATTTTCCAATGTAATTTTTATTAATATTTTTACTTGCATACGGTGTCTATACCATTACTGTTGTCATAATAATAATCAATAAAAACAAAATATAATTTAAAGCATGTATAAATCTGAGAAATTTAATTTAGATGAGAAAGATCTAAATCATTACCTGTATTTCTTTTTCACTTATGCATACATCTTATTAATTATATTATTAAATAATGTAATGAACTATATAGGAGAAGGATGTAAACCAATATTCGACAGGGAAGAAATAAAAAAGGCTACAATCAAAACTAACGAAATAGAAGAACGACGCACAGTTGTAGCTATAGATAAAGAACAATCGGGTATGTATTATATAAATAATTATTATTTATTATTAATTCTTAAATTATACCAATTAAACTTGAATTAATGAGTATATAAAATTACATAAGATATTTTTCGAAATACTCGAAATTCTTTGAATAAGAAAAGCACAACGTACATGAAATTATTCTATATACATTTATGATATATATATAAATACATATATAGAACTTAGTCATTGAATATATAATATACATATAATGTAACTAATTTATGGTTAAATATTTTATTTATAGATCATATCTTTAATTTAAAAAACAAATTATTTTATATATGTCAAGAAATATAGATAAATATTTTAGTTTTTGGTGTTTGAGGCTCTATAATGAATAAAACAACATAGCATTCTTTAAAAACATAGTATATACATATAACACTACATAAAATATTACAGCTTCGACAAACAAATCACGTACTTCAAGGAGACGATCTTTATCCTTGAGTCCAATTAGGAATCATATTTATAGTTCCGGATATTCGCCGTCTTATCAACCTAGGTTCGTTTCTCTTACGATGACAATATTCTTTATACTAGATATATATTCTTTAATGTATTTACTTATGACCTTAGACACCGCATAGACTTGAAGCATCAGGATAACAAGACAGAAAATTGTGATATTCGTAAAAATGATGGGTAAAGCTAGCTTTAGTTGTAATTTATTTATTGATGAAAAGAAATTCAACTTTGTTTTTAAACACAATTAAGAATTCTTAATTGATTATATACGGGCAATCATTATAATCGTGGCAACGATTATAATTGTCATGGCAGATTGTCACCGCATTTTGACCAAGGATTCTGGTCGTTCTGAATTGATGTAACACACACTGAAAATCGGTGTTCCATCTTATAATTGTTTGTCATCTTAATACATGTTATGGCGATAAATATTACCACATGCTTCAGTGGTCGAATTGATACGACACCCATCACGGAATGAGAGAGGTTCCAGGTTCGAACCCTGGCTGGGGTAATATTTTTTGCAATGAATGTAATATTTAATTAAGATGCTTATATATAAGCATCTAAACTTAAAACTTACATCAATTCAGAACGACCAGAATCCTTGGTCGAAACGCGGTGACGATCTGTCACGACAATTATAATTGTTGCCACGATTATAATCATTGCCAGTATATAGTCAATTAAAAATTCTTAATTGTGCTTGTTTTTAAAATAATCAAAAGCAAATAAGTATTATATAATTAAAAACAATTAAATAGCTGTTTTATATTTCTTAAAAGTATGTTTTCTTTTTATATTTTGTAGGGCAAGCAGTTTAGAGAAACGTAGAGAATATAAAGAGAAGTACACAGAAAGAGATGCAAATAAACATGATGCTAATCGATCCCGTTCTAGAGAACTGCATAACTCATATTCGAGGTATGGAGTAAAATCATTAATATTGAATTTATAGATTGTTTTTTTAAATAAATTAATATTAAAATAATATAAAATGATATAAAAATTAAATTAATATAAAATTAATTTTATTATTATAAATATTTAAATTATTTTTAATTTGTTACGATTTAGAGATATTACCAGGCTTGATTAATTTATTTGTAAAATGAAAAAAGAGTGCCAATTAAACTATTCTTTAATACTTATGAATAATCATTTCTAATCATTATCTTTACAGGCCGTTTATGGAAGAGAAATCTTATCGCGACAGATATCGTGAGAGATCAAATGAACGTTCCCATGAAAGAAGAGATAGAGATAGGGATAGGGACAGAGATAGAGACAGGGATAGAGAAAGGGAAAGGGAGAGGGAGAGGGAAAGAGATAGAGATAGAGACAGGGACAGAAACAAAGATAGAGATAGATCCAGAGAACGAAGGGATATAGCACCACATTATATTGAATCACCAATACCTGTGCCTATCTATTATGGCGTAAGTAAAATGTATAGGATAGTACACATGTATAGTATGTTTGTACATATGTACAAACTATTGATCTAATGAATGCTCTTAATGAGAATTTGTTGGATATCTAATTTATTTATTTCTTGGTAATATACTTTTTAGAGTCCCTTTCCTCCGAGACCAATTGTAGTGAGCCCTATGGTCCCATTAAGAGGACAGATTCCTCCTATGGGAAGAGGCAGACACCCTGCTTTAATGGCACCAGTCAGACCATTTCCACCACGATTTCCTCTGGATATGTACAGATTGGGACATCCACCCCCAAATCTAAGTAAATACATATGCATTACAAATAGCAGCACAACTGTATATGTATTGTACAATATTATGTATACATATACATACATACATACATATATATATATACACACACATATATATATAAAATTCTTTCACAGGATTCGGACCATTTTAAAACAACGGAACATATTTCATACTTAGTCAATAGCAATGAACACAATGGTATCTTGGATACGCAATCAAGGTTTTATTATATTATAGAACGTAATATTTTAAAATGAATTATAATGCTTGAGTGAATTAAATATATTATATATGTAAAGTCTGCATGAAATATAAATGGAGGAGTAAAAGCCATAGTGGTGTAACTCAAATTTTTAAAGATATTGACTCGTGTGCATAGATGCAATCTCTACAGTACATAAATTGTACCTATGCACACGAGTCAATATTTTAACAAAATTTGGCCACTATGGCTTTTATCCCTCCAAATAATACAATTATAATATAAAGTAATACAAAGTAATAATGCATACATATAACTTAGATATACTAATAGAGCATATAACTTATATATAAAATATTTTTCTATGTAATATTTTTCTATGTAATATAGAATATATTATTATAGAGCATTCATACACATACATATACACATATTGTTCTTACTTTTCAATAATTATTTATAATTAGCGGTATGTATTCTGTAAATAAAATTGAAATGTTACTTCGTACATAAGATTTAAAGGCATTAATTTTCTTTAAGAAGATCTATCCTATCCCTGTGATACAGTTACACTCTTTCCTCTTGTATTTTAGACCTTGAAACACAATAAACGCTTCAATACGTTTCAAATTCGCGAACTTTTTGCATGCGCGTGTATAGCCACGTTGTTGCATCTCGTCGGTATGACGGGTTTCAAAATAGGCCTAATGAAGGTGATCCTAAAGCCGTGATCCTAGCCGGTTTTTTTCGATTTTTTTCTTAGCACTAATCTTTTAATTGGCTTTATAGAAATGCAAAATTCTTGTCTAGAATTAAAGTACGCATCAAAATCTAGGTCATGGTGGTCGAATTTATATGTGGTGGTCGTCACGTATAACAAAAAATATTAATTTTTTTTCGTTTTCGATATAAATTATTATATATTGTCATATGAAAAGTGAGTGTAAAGAACACGAAATTCTCCAATAATTTTCATTATGTTTTCAAAATCGGTTAAGTAAATCAAAAACTCTGTTCTTTATAACTGAATGCCATGTTTTGCATTTTTCATCCGTTTTCCTTTTCTTTCCGATATCTAAATTCTATGCCTATTTCATTTTGAATGTGGAAAGTCTAATGTAAAGCAGCTCTATAAAGAACAGACTTAAAGATAACATTAAATATTATAATTAAATTTAATTGATTTTATAATTATAATATTATAATCAAAGTTTTGATATTGCAGTTTTAATTAAAATTATATAATTTTTCTCTTTATTATCTTTTTCGTAGAGAGAGAAGTTGCTTTTCCTTCCACACTGAAAATGAAAAGTATAAGGTACTAAAAATGCACAGTTTTTGACATACCTATATTATAGATTTTCTCTACTGATATAGTGTATATTAAAACAGAAGAAAAATCTGTAATAAAACACAAATAATTAATAAAAAATTTCTCTGTACACAGATTTTACATCTGATCTAATACATTGAACTTGAGACAATTATATTAAAACGTAAGAATTTAATGAAATTTAATGTAACATTCCTGCATAAAACGTCTTATTCAAAAATATTGTTTCGCATTCACGAGATTTTGTCATGAATTCTGCTTTGCAACAATTTCGGATTGGATCACGGGTCAATACTTTTCAGTGCGATACTAGGAATAGAACGTGAAAATCTTGTATGCCTCTGAATCCAAAAACAATTAGCAGAAGAAGTGAATCTTTTAATGCGAGAATTCGCATTTGTTTGAAGGTTGTCGATTGCGATTGAATGCGAGGAATATTTTAAGCTAAGTGAATTCTTGCGAACCAATACTTTTCAATCCCTTTCTTCGCATCAGAAAGCAGAATTTAAATTAATTCTTTTCAATCCGACATTTTATGCAGGGATATATAGCAAATGCCGGAAAAATAGAAAAGAAACAAATTATCATATTTTATATTATTCAAAAAGTTTTAAATCTTTCCGCAAACTGTAATATATATCGGAAAAGAACCTTTTCTCTTCTCGGAAAGGAACCAAAAAATTGTGAACATAGCACGGAAGAGAACCACAAAATTGTGGACGTTACCACAAAATCGATATAGCACGGAAAAGAACCACAAAATCGTAGGCATTACCTACGGGATTCATGTTTCGTGGATATTGGCTACGTAGTTCGATGTCCACATTTTATAGACATAGAGGCGCTTCAAAATAAAGTAACAGCTGAATTGGGCTAAATCGCGCCCATGGTCGCTCTCAAGACTTCTCTGATTCTCTTTGCTTCTGCACTTCTGCGTGCTTTCGAGTTTTCGTAACTACAACCGTGTGGCCGTATCAATCGAAGTCTTTTGACACACAGAATTTGTGGCCACTGCTTTCCTGCATTCCTGCGATTGTCGTCGCTGTCAGCTGTCGTCAGTCATATGCGCTTTTCGTCAAATCCGGATGACATGTATCGCATGTTCGGCGAGCATTGATCAATTTACAATAGCTCGGGATGGTCGTGAGTTGTTGAAGTGCCGTTGACGGTTCAAGCCCGGCGGCCTGCTGATGATCATTCGCTATTAAACACAATTTTCTAAAGGTTTCCTCGAAAAGCACCGGCAGAGATCGATCACGCTTTCATACAGACGGGTGGGAAAGGAACTATGTAGTTGCGATGGTTGCGAGCACAGCGACTGATATGACTGGATCTATATATCATGAACGACAAGTAACTTGTTAATGTTGTTGCATCCTTTCCGTAGATTGTCTTTAGGTTGCACATATATATTGCGTAGAAAATTCCGTCACCGTAAACAATGCGAAGTAATTGTCAATAGAATATTGATGGTTGAAGATATCTGCACTATTTTGAAAAGAGAAGATGCTTATATTTTTTTTTTTTTAGTTAATCTATTTCGTAACCTTCACCAAAATTACAAACTGAATTGTAGGTGAAGGAGCTGTGTGCGTTACACGCGTTGAACAACTTGTTTCAAGAGCGTGGCTTTAGCAAACAGGAATTAGATCAGATCTGCTATAGTTTAAGTCCCGATGTGTGGATCAATCCTCATAAATCGCTACTAGGACTCGGCAACTATGACATTAACGTTATTATGGCCGCTCTCCAGAGAAGAGGACGCGAGGCTGTGTGGTTCGACAAACGTAGGTCCGTACGTTCATCGGTATCGTGAAAAGTATGAGCACGCAATTTATAATTGTATATGTTCATTAAATTATTCCTTCTATCTCAGGGATCCCAAGTGTCTTTGTTTAGACAACATTGAGGGTTTTATACTGAATGTCCCAACTGAATATAAACTAGGTTTTGTTCTACTTCCTTTGAAGCGACGTCATTGGATTGCTCTGAAAAAGATACACGGTGCCTTTTATAATCTTGATTCGAAACTGGACTCGCCGCAGTTAATAGGAAAGGTTATTACAATACAATGAAATTTGGCGAAAGATATAAAGGTATTTCCATATATTTTATATGTCGTATTAATTGTATTTTTTCTGACATCAGGACAACGACTTACTCATATATCTAAAGGATCAGATAGATAGCAAGGAGAAGGAACTATTCCTTGTTGTTTCTAGAGAGATCGATAGCAATCAAGGATGGTTAATAGATACATGTGAAAATAAAGATGACAATAACATGGATCATGATTCTATTAGGTATATTGAGGACGGATATCCGGATATAGATTTGAAAAAGTCCGAGTCTAAGGAAATGAATGAAAACGAGGAATTCCTAGATAACAAAAATTCTAGATAATTGGGGCCACATGCACTACGCTCCACTTAATTATTTATTTATTCATTCCCTTGTTGCAAATTTGAGGAAGGATGATTATAATTGTCGCGAGAAAAGACTTGGAATTATACAGGAACAAAAGAGAACGAAAGATAGAGCAGATAACGGAAATTACACATAATAAATGTTTCACTGAGCATTTTACTATAATGCTTTCATTTATATCTATCTGTTAACACAAGTGGTATTTTTATTTATTTATTTATTTTTATTTTACTAGAGAATCATTCGTATATTATGTATATTATACATTCTACTTGTGACATGCGTAACAACGCATTTTAAGAAATAACGTATGTAAGATATATAGTGTTGTATTTAAAATGAAAATATTGCTTTTATTAAAAGTTAACGTGCATAAGAAGAGAACTCGTATTTAAACAATAGCTACTCATATGAATTGAAAGGTTATTAATGTGTATATCTATATTCTATCGTGATATTATTTATATGTGATAATCATATCTGTCATTTTAAAAAGCTTGTATAAATAAACACACTTGTAATATGAAATTGTTACAATACATTTTAGGTACAATCTCACGATTCTTTTTACACAATAAATATACTTGTAATTTGTTTCATAATGTAATTTATTCTGTATATATAGGACAGTGTTAAGCAGACATTATTATTTATATTACAAGAGCGTAAAATTTATTTATATCACGTGCTGGCATATATTTAAGTTGTGGCTTTAAGTAAGCATCAAATAATTGACTAGTGATAATTTATTTATTTTTATTGTTGTGTACCACAAAAAAATAAAGTTAATCAGCCAATGAACCTATTGTACAAAATATACATAATATATATCATACAAGTAATAACGTCGTCATTGTTATAGCAGTAGATATAACGTCGTTATTATTACATCACCACTTTATTGCGAGCGCTGTATTCATTTTTTGTATTTCGTGGTATTGTGTATTGAAATACGCGCTAACTTTGTCTGTATCCTCTCCTCCCAGCCAAGTTTTGTATAGATTCTGCACCACTTTGTTTTCTTCAGGTTTGCTTAGCGGAAGTTTACGATACATATTTTCTAATGTTGTTGCGAGTTCTCGGGGTTGAATGTTTCCGTCGGGTCTTACTTGTGCTCCTCCGTTTAAGCAACCTGATGATAATAATAATAATAATAATCACTTTAAAAAATTTACTTACAACATTAGTGCATTATTTTAAGCAAAACAATAATTACCACACGGGCATGCCATAATTTCGACGTAGTCGTAAACGCATTTGCCCTTTTTCATTTTCTGAACTATATTCTGTATATTCCTGAACCCATTAATAATAGCAAATTTTAATAACACTTGATCGTTTCTTTTCAATTCGGCTTCCTGGAAGTCGGGATTTCTAAGATTTTTGACATCTACTGTAACATTGTCTTCGTCAAAAAGATTCTTCGCCGCGTAACGAAAGATGAAGTCCGCGTAACCACCTGACCCCGAGCCACTATGACCCCACAATCTACTCGCAATTTCTTCACTGTAGAAACCAAATGGTTGTTTAATTTCACCTTCGTCGATTTCGTTTAATACTAAACCGTCTTGACTCAGCATCTGTTCCAATTCGACTGAAAGACACAAAGTTGATACCATAATTTACACTTCAATTTTTATAATTCTAAATATAGTTATATAAAAACATGAATATATGTATATACTTGATGTTATGACACAGTCTACGTCTCTCGTCTTTCTTTGCTGATTGTAAAAGTCTTCTCTGGAAGCTTCCAACTTCTTGTCATAGCAGGGCATTACAGTTACATGGTACATCCGTTCTGGTGACAGACCCATAGTTTCAGCTAAATGGTACTTTACTAATGATCCCATAATTTGTTGGGGTGATTTTGTGACACTTATGTGTGGCAATATAAAATTTCCGTGAGTTTTTTCGGCATAACATACCCAACCTGTCACGGAAATAAGAACATTACAAATTTCTTGAATCGATCATTCATTTTCATAAACAAATATTCGTCTTACCTGGACACGAAGAGGACAACATTGGTAACTGATTTTTTATGCCTTCTTTACTGGCTTTATAACGTTCGACGAATTCTTTGGCAGCTTCTAATAAAACAAAATCGTCAGCCACCGTCATATCTAATACCGCATCAGCTCCCAATCGATAGAAAAATCCTGCCAGTTTACAGAGAGTTTGCTCGGGGGTAAGTTCATAACGCTGTGCCAGTGACAACACAGGTTGCACCGATAGACTTACTACTATATATTTGGAATCTGTACTTCCTACGTTCTACAAAAGTACAAAAAGTATTATGGTTCAGAAATCAAATAAATGAAGAATATATCTTGTAATTTTGTATATCTAACTATCAAAGATAAATATTCATCTGTAAAAGAATTAATAATTAACACTGCATATCTTCAATTCTCTAAGTATCATTACAAATATCTAAATTATATAAAATCTCTTTACTTTTATATATAAATTAGAAACCTTTATATATTGTAGTAACATTTATTCTTTACCTGTTGAGCTACTTTCTCCTGGAACACCCTGAGCAGTTCTTCTTGACTTTGTTGCGTAACTAGCACGCTCTCAGCAGATGTGATACATCCACTGCACGCTAAACAGTCGGCAAGTGTGATCTCAACTTTTTGTAATTTTTCCGGTTGCCTTGTCTGCATGGTAAAGCAAACTTGAGTGGAATGTTTTAAGCTGGAAATATATTTCAGCAAATAAATATTGCAGACACTTACTTCATTCAGCGCCAAATGGGCATTATCCGCTTGTATTTTTATCTTCGCACCCGTCTTGCTTTTGCTCGCCTGCATCTCTATAGGTTTAATGCATTCCTGTAACAATTGTAATTAAGAGCAGCGCATGGAGATTGGATCTAATCCAGAATGACGTCGATCATCATACCTGCGACGGAGTGATAAAGTCATCCAGATTTGTAATCTGCAATGCTCCACTGAATCTTGATGCCATTTTTTTTTTCCAAATTTACTTCTTGCGTTCAGTTCTTAAGTATACAGATATTTTCTGTAAACATACATTATATAAAAGAATCTTACATACAAAATAATCTGTTTTTCTTTCATAAATACAAGTGTCATTCAATTAAATAAATACCTCTTATTTTTTAAAGGAGATATTAGGAATGCTTCTACAGTCGTAGATTATCTTCTACAATCTACAGTTCTTCGTGAAATGATACAGCAACATTAATATAACAGTAAAAATGAAGAGATTCTCAGCATTGATAAATATTAATGTCAACGTTGGAATTTAACCTCTTCACTACCTTTGGAATATAAATGGCTCACTGAATTTCGAAATTTCTGTAAATGAATTCTCCGTATCGCGCAGTTCTGCGCTAAAACCAAAATTAACGGTTAAAAAGACATGCAGGAGGTGAGAGATATTTTCATCAAACTAGCGCAACACGATGTTCTTTATTGACAAGTAGGTAATTTATGAAATCATGACAATGTGCTCCCATGTCACAAATGACTCACTGACCTGCGCCTGAGACACCGCAACCGTTCCAGCGTGCACTGTGCAGGAGTAGTCGTGTTAGCATCGTCAGAGGGGCGCGATTTGCTTATAAAATTGCAACAATGACGGAAGTGAGGAAGGACGATGTTGTAAAAATTCTTCACACCTACCCGTTTTGCAGAGTGAGTAAAATACGCTGCCGTATTTCATTGTGATTTATCGTACGGATTTGCGCTGCGTAAGTATATGCGAATGTGACGTTTGATCAATACGCGGAAGCGTGTGCGTTTCGCTACGCGTTCATTGAATCGACGCCGCTGATTTAAAAATCAAAATTACGCGCATTTTTTATTTCAAATGAATGCCGATTTGTTGTCGAATTTGGTTTAGCATTCTGTTTATATCCGTTCTATTTATGAATAATTATTCCCTCATGCTAGGTCTACAAGTATATTGTAGACAGTAGTCAATTAGAGTAGTCAATTATTCTCCTCAAATTTGACTGTGATTAGTCAATTCTTGCGACTCACGACTTTGCAACTCGCATTGTAGATCCAGCATTATATTGCTTTGCATAAAAGCCTAATATTTCAATAATTTGATTTAGCATAATATGTAGTAATACCTAAAAATTATTTTATGTAAAATGCGTATGAAACCTTGGAGAAATTATATTTGCCATTGCAAAAATTATCCAACTCGAAATAAATATACATTTATATGTATATACATACGCGAGTTGTTTACATTATTGGAATTCTTTTAACAATTTTCAATGTCCATTTGCAGAAATGTGATATGTCTGATGAGATGAAGCAAGAGGCGATGGAATTATGTGTGACTGCGGCAGAAAAGTACGCGGACAACTATGAAAGCGTTTCTCGGATGATCAAGGAGACAATGGATAAGAAATTCGGTGCGTCGTGGCACACGGTTGTTGGAGAAGGCTACGGTTTTGAAATAACTTATCAGTTGAAGCACCTCCTGTACATGTACTGTGCCGGCAATTTGGCAATATGCATATGGAAATCGGCATAGTAACGGTTCGCTTGGCACCTATTTATTTATTTTTAATGTATTTATTTATGTACTTATATACACGCATATATATGCGTTCGACTGTATATGTAAAATCATTTTTATGTATGTGTGCGAAGCATGTATGCAAACTGTTACGAGAAAAGAGAAAGAACGTTTGTAACATCTCATAAGTGTGGGTCCAATCTGTGTTTAATTGTAAGAGTCAAATATCTTTGTTATCATAATTAAACACATTCACGTATTGGAAACAAAACTAATGATGAGAATCCGCGATTCAGATATATCAAATAAAATACAACAATTAATGGAAATACTTTTCGATACAGATTATTGAATTATTTATAAATAATATATTATTTAAGGAGCAATTTGATATACAGCATTATATAAGAATATGTAAGATCCAACCGTAAAATGTACTCCTTTGTAAGAAGACAGTGATATATAATATATATTTAAAAAATTCATATACATGACAGTATTTGAAAGGACATATTAATCTTTTACATGTAAAATTCGTCAAAAACCTGTAACCGTCCTCCATACAAGAACTGCTATGTTACCTCCAATAAACATATATAACAGTGATTTTTCTTGATGTGTAGTTGCACACGCGTAAGCTTCCCCGACGACCACTTGGAATGGAGGCCCAAATTTTTTATCCAGACTATCCTTGATCATGCGAGCTGCGTGCTCGTAATTCTCCGAATATTTTTCCACAGCGGTGACACAGGTCTCCATGGCTTCCTGCTTCATATCCTCCGGCATGTCACTGTACTAGGAAGAATCTTTGTCGTAATTAAAATTGATATATCTTAATTCGAACATAAATATTATAAATTAGATCGATTTACCTTACATAATGGATATGTATGAACCATCAAAGCTGCAACATCCTTCTTTACCTCCCCAGCCCACATTTTACAGAAGTGTCTCAATTATTTTATCGTATGTTGCATATAACAGCAAAACTATGTTATTTGTGTTTTTAATATCCGATAAGATTCATATATTCAGTATATTTGGTTATATTAAATGTACATTTAAACAAATGAACGTATGACACTTACATTGAAATTTTCAAGTGTACACAAAGAGTACTGAATGAATTGAACAAATATATATAACTTTATATATTATATAATAATAATATAAAATTAAGCTAAATTGAAATTTGAATATATATATAATATATATATTAAAATTTTAATTTAGCTTAATTTTTCCCAACCGCTATACGAATTGTTATCGATTTAATTTATATAATTGCCCCAGAGAGTGAGAAATTTGATCAAGATATGTTAAATGCTAAATGTCAAACTTCGATAGCCTGATAATAGTATTAATAGAAAATAAATTAATTAATCTTGAGGTCTTGTAACAAAGAAAATGATCTCAAACATATATAAAAATTGTATATTTTCTTTCTTTCTCGCAGGTAGAAAGGTTATAAACACTTCCCTCCTCGGACCTTGACGGAGTTTCGGATCGTAGTGATCGTACTGAAACGCGGGATTTTTAAGGCGTTCCAAAACTCATCGGAAAAAGTCTTCGTCTACTAATGTATATTGCGTATATTGACGTTTATTCAAGAAATAATTTAAGAAAGCTCGGTGATGCTGTTGCTCGAGGTAGAATCAGTTTTACCGAAAGTCGTAGGATCGAGTGTAACATTTAGGAGAAATAATAAGGAAAAGGGGGAGAAAGAATAGAAAAAAAAAACTCGTTTCCGCCATTTGTGCTCCGTTCGCGTCGACGTGCGTCGTGCGATAGTGTTGAGTCTCGTGTCCTCGACCGTTCCTTTCACCGGCGGGCCCGTTAACGTCGTACGTCGTACGCTTCTCACGCTTCTTTTTTCTGCCTCTCGTATATACGCGCGACCGTGCATCGCGAAGTGCTCCTTCCTTTGCATATATGACTGCGACCGAAGGCGAGTGCGAAAAGCGTTCCCGACACGACGGCATCACCGACGTCTGCGACACGTTAACATGTCTGCCCTTCAAAAGTCAATTTTGAAATCCAAATTACCACCGTCGACGGTCAACTTCTCGGCGTTGAACTCCAGGTTCGTGTGACCTCCCTCCATGAAAAAAATCATCATGGGATTTTAGATTAATAAGTCGAAGAAAGTTGCTGTGAAATCAATACACAAAAATGTCTTTTCTCTCTCTCTCTCTTTTTTTTTAAAGACTTGGTAAGTCGAGGGGAGCCCAACGAAGGAGGGACTACGAGCCGGTGCAGTGGAATTCGTACTTCGATCATTCCAAGGATGTGCCGGTGGGAGAGAATGTTTTTCACGTTTACATCAAGGGCACGGAGGGGCCGTTGTTAGTTTTGTTACACGGTGGTGGTTTCAGTGGTTTAACATGGGCAGAACTTACAGTGAGTATCGTCTACGATTGCCAATAAACATGCTGGGAAAGAGATTAATCCGCGTTATGAATTTTAGAAATCGATTATGACAATGGTGTTATGCAGAGTCATGGCTATTGATCTTAGGGGTCACGGAGACACTCACACCACGGAGGATGAGGACTTGTCGGCAGATACTTTAGCATCGTAAGTAAAATGTACATTAAATTTTTTTTGCACCTTAATTTCAGAACGTATTTCTTTTTTTTGGTTTCTGCTTCTTTGGGAAGGAGCAAAGCACCTTCAACCCTGCCTTTGGGTTATATAGCGCTTTTCAGAACGTATTTCAACCCCTAAGGTGCCTTTTTACGTTGACACTCGATCGGCTCGACGCTCATTTTCAGTGAGCAAAAATCTTCAGAAATAATATTTATATTTTATATATTCGTAAAATATTACTACTTGAAAATAATTAATATTTTACGTATTTTGAAGCCTATTTTATATATATATATATATATATATATATGTATATATATATATTATTTTTGAAGATTTTTGCTCGCTGAAAATAAGCGTCGAGCGTCAATGTAAAATGGCACCTTTAAATGTACAGCTTTGCATATATGGGAAGCAATTTTTTGCTGCTTTGTGTACTTTTCCTTATGAAGTTCAAACACGTGGTTTTGTATATCCGTAAATGATCTTTTTTGACCCTTTTTTCCCTTTCCTTGAGAGGGTTCAACTCAGTAAAGAATTTTTTAAATATCTTTTTTTAGAATTCCTTAATCAGTCATTATTTATTTAAAAAATAGAGTTCTACAAAAAATTGTGTATTTAAGGATTAATCTTAATGATAAATTTGTTAAAAACTTTCTTTAAATATATAAAAAAGTTTGTAAGGTTGTACATATCTATAACGCGGCTCATAAAAATTTTTTCATTTTTTAAGTATATCATTTGATCAGTTGATATAAAATCTTATATCTTTGCCACCTTTGATAAATTTTTTTCTCATCCAGGGATGTTGCAGCTGTTATAGATGCAATTGCACATGATGTTCCAATAATTCTTGTCGGTCATAGCATGGGTGGTGCGATAGCTGTAAGAGCAGCTCCGCTAATTCCAAATTTATATGGATTAGGAGTTATAGACGTCGTAGAGGGCACGGCAATGGATGCATTAGCCTCTATGCAAAGTTTCTTAAGATCCCGGCCGTCTAGTTTCAGCACCATACCTCAGGCTATAGAGTGGTGGTTAGTATTTCTTATGCTTTTAATACATTTATTATTGTATCGTAACAAGTGTGCTTTTTAAACAATTTTTTTGCTACTTGAAAGTAACTTAATTTGATTCTTAATGATAATTTAGTTCTTTAGTCACTTCATTTTTATATATAGACAAAATAAAGTTTCCAAATAGAATTAAACAAGTTTTAATTAATGTTTTCAGCGTTCGTGGCGGACAAATTCGGAATCTACAATCGGCAAAGGTTTCGGTTCCTGGGCAGATAAAGAAGTTAGTGAGTTCTTAAGGAGGATACTTAGGCTTTTATAATACTTTTATATTGATATTAAAATAAATCGAGTCATATGCAACACACGTGCCATTTCAGCATTGAAACTGGCAAATTAGCAACTCATGATATTGACTCAGTGCCAACCCAATACAACACTGAATCTAATCCAGAACCAGTTATACCGCGAGATGATATTATCCAAGAGGAAGAGTCAGCCAGCATGCCACCGCCGCCACCTGCGTCTTCTGCTGTCACTACTAATAGAAAGTATGTCTGGAGAATAGATTTGGCAAAAACGGAACAGCATTGGTTCAGCTGGTTTAAGGGTTTATCGACGGCATTCTTGAATGTCTCTGCACCGAAAATGTTGTTGTTAGCTGGAGTCGATAGATTAGATCGCGAACTCACTGTAGGACAAATGCAAGGTATATAATTTTCAATGCTGACGATGTCTTGACGATGCATAATTTTTGTGTAATATTTTAATAAAATAATTCCTTGCTTTCCCATGAAAATAGGTAAATTCCAAATGCAAGTATTGCCCGCTTGTGGGCACGCTGTTCATGAAGACGTCCCGGATAAAGTAGCGGAAGCTATTGCTACGTTTATGGTCAGGCACAAATTCGCAGAACCAGCGTCAGATTTTCCACGGTAAGCTAAAGTGGTCCTCTATCTTCGCATTCACTGCAATTTCATCAATATTGACATTGTGATGATTGTAAAATTCATAGTTTCTATATTTTCCATGATTTTACGATTTTTGTTTCTAATTTTGTGAAAACTATATAATTTATGATTGTTTCAGGACTTTTCTGGCTTGTTAAGAAGAGAATTAAACAGTTGTAATGTAAACGAATAAAATAATGTGGTTTTCTTTTAATTAGTTAATAATAATTTTATTTATTTCAAGAGATTATAACCACCAAATATAGAAATATATATCATACATGTGTAAATAAAGATATTTATCTTGATGAGAAAAATAAATTTGTTCTTATGTATGTATATATTCTTCCTTTAACAAACTTCAAGTTTATTAAATTTTGATTTTTCTTGTCAGTATAATCTCACGCACAGACATCGCAATCACTCGAAGTATTTATATCTTCAATATTAATTTTTTTCCTGTTTCTCTCTAGCACTCTTGATTTATCAATCATTTTTAATATAACTGGATACAATTTATTACATATGATTTATTATAAAAAATAATATAGACATTTATGAAAAACAATGTTACTTTTATGAGAGGAAACATGTTTATATGTATGTATATGTATATCTATATTTTATTAAAAATTGTTGTACTTGTATTCTATACTCTGTTCAATGAGAGAATATGGATGGATCGAAAACTCGTCCGTTTCGCGCAGATCTCCGTCCACCACAAATATCTACTTCATAGACAACAGACATCTGTGGATTAATATGATGGACAAATTTCAACATTGTCAATTATTAATTACACTAAAAATTTATATAAAATCGAGGTATTATGTATACCAATAAAGGTAGCAGTGTAGTCTATTGGTAAAGCGCCAGATTGTAATCATAAAAATCTGGGCTCGAGTCCATTCTGTGATCATGGGAATTTTAATATTCTAAACTGCCCTTTCGCATGAGAAATTAACGAAGAGGGGGAGGACTTGCCTTTCGAAAAGACATTAAATCATTGGTCCAAAATATAGCTGAAAATTGATAGGTGTATCTCCTATTTGTCACAATGCCAAGGTGCTGTGGGCTAATCACCCCCCGTACATCTGAATTTAAAGCGACTTACTGAAACCTCATAGGAGACCTTATGTCCCACTTAGGATTTAAAGGAACTAATCATTATCATCATGTACAAATAAGTGCCAAATATAATGTTTGATAGTTACAATTAATGGTTGAAATTTTTTCAATACACCTAAATCACATGTTATTACAAATATAAATTGCATAATTAGCAAGTCCAATTACTGATTGTTTAGTAAGAATAATCTACATGTTATTAGTTAAATTTTTTACAACAACACACGGTTCCACACGGCCAGCCTTAAGAGGAGCAACCTGCAAACATAAACATGTTTAAGTTTACAAAATACATTTACAATTATTCCTATTTACCATATTCAATTACAGGAATAGTTTATACACTCACAGGTTCCCATTCGTTGAGATGTGGATCGTAGGCTTCCACTAGTGTGAGACTTTGTCGGCCGTTGTGTCCTCCCACGGCCATAAGTCGGTCACCTAATACGCACACACCAACTTCACTCCGGGGCACACTCATTGGCGCAACCATAGTCCACGTATCGGTTTTAGGATCATATCTATATTGTTACATCGCATTATATATAACTTGAAAGTTTTAACATATAATGTAACAGCGGCGTTATACCTTTCTACACATTCCAATATGCTAGCATTGTTAGCTGGAGCGTCGTAACCACCGAGTGCATAAAGACAACCATTCACTACTCCTACGCCTACCCAGCATCGTCTCTTTGACATAGGTGCGCACGGTGTCCATTTGTTCGTGTGCGGATCGTAACATTCTACTGTACTGAGGCAGGAACTGCTATTTCCTCCTCCTACGGCATACAATCTAAAACATGATAAAAAATTTAATATCAAATTTATTTTAAAAAAATTTAATATTTAATAAAATTTAAAGTTAATAAAATAATATTTATACGAAGACACGTACTAAAAAGGACATTAAAATGATTTAAAACAGATATGACATATAAATTTAATAATTTATCTGTAAAGACTTACTTATCATTTAACACAGCTACACCGACTCCACATCTTTGTACGGACATAGGACATATTGAACTCCACTGACTTGTTCCCGGATCCCATCTCTCTACCGCATTAAGAAAACAACGACCGTCGTGACCACCAACAGCATATAAAAATCCACCTAAGACTGCCACTCCTGAGAAAGAATATTATAACGTATTTGCCAGGGTTTGATTATGAATAAATGAAATAAATTGCACATTAAGGCTCCTGGATGGTCACCGCGGCCATATTGGATTATTACTATCGAGACGAGGAAAACACCCAATTTTGTTGTGCATGCCATTTTCAAATAAAAAGACATTTCAATAAAACATCACTATAGATCGTTTCAGAACACTTCCGAAATTGACCGAAAACTACCCTTTTCCCTCGACAATAAACAAACAGCCATAAAACGAAGCCTAAACATACGGGAAAAACAGCCGTTTAACGACTATCGAAAGGAGGTGAAAACGTTCCTTCCGCATGCAAATCTTACTTTTCGGTCAATTTTACGACTTTCACGAATACGTTAAACGTTAGAACACAAGCGCAGAGAGAATAATAAAGAAATAGCATGCACAACAAAATAGGTTGTCAACATGTCACAAAGGACAGAATTCTCCATTGGAAAGAGTTCTTATTTCTGCCGCGACGGTACGTCGCCACCGTCAACGCAGAGTTCTCGGCTGACCATCCAGGAGCCTTAATTTTGCAAATTCTCATGCATTTGCACATACCTAATCCTTGTCGATGAACATTCATAGGTGGTAGAGTGCTCCACGTAAGAGTGGAGAAATCGAAGCATTCTACTCTGTTCAATGTTTCTGAACCGTCTTTACCACCCACAAAAATCAATTTTTTATCGACTACTACTGCGCCAAATTGACATCTTCGGCTTTTGAGTGATTCAGATGACCAGGGTTTATCGCGAAATTCATCTAGAGATCGCCAGGCATTATCGTGTAATGAAAATGCCTCTACAGATGATGCATCTAGAAAGTACGTTGCAAATTATTTCGTTTGGAAAAACTAAAATAGTGCGACAATATTGGCATAACATATTTTCTTTACATTAATCGCGATCGATTAATTATCAGTTATGCGATTAATATTAAATAATTCATTTTAGATATAATAAATTACCTTCCTTGGCGTGTACCCTTCCGATAGCTAACAACGTACCCAGAATGGCTTTTCTGGATTTCGGTCTGCCTGTTTGAAGCAAAGATATTCGCTCAGGCAGCAAATGATACTTAAATGCTTCCATTACTAATTCCTGCACCATTCTTTGGTCTTTGAACAATTCGTTATTCTCAATATTGTCAGCTATGAACTGTTTTGATTTATTTAGTGCTAATGCACAAGTTCTGTAGAGTGAAAAAATTGAGCTGTCGATGAACTTACCGCGGGTGATAGCAATGGTAATTTGACTAAACCTAATAATTTACTGGCATCTTTGCTCCTGTTTTCTGGATCGTGTTCCAGCCAAGTCACTAGAGCCTGGAATAATAATAAAACAATAACGATTCTGTTTATTCTGTATCTCAGGTTAGGTATTTTAATTGCATTTGTATGAAATATTTGCTTAAGCAATTATAGAAATATATATTTGTATATTTATGATCAATAGTATAGCTATAAAAAACTTATCGCTATGATAACATCTCTTTCTTAATATTTCATATAAATTGGTTCGCTCAACAAACAGTTGTCTTACATGAAAGATAGTTTCTTCTGAAGGAACATTAAGATTCTCAGATTCAAGTAACTTTGCAACTTCATTGGCAGATAGCAGTAAGAATTCTTGATTTTTTGTAACTTCCATGAAATGTTTGGTAGTGTATGCGTGTGCGTATTCAAGCAATTCCGAACAACCCTGCGTATCGGCGAACATCCGTATACCCAGACAGTTGCTTGGGTGAAGTTGTTTGACGAGAAACTGACAACACGCTTTAATAACTGGATTCAATTGTAACAAACATGATGTTACAAGTAGAGTCTCTACGCTATCTTCCTGCAATTCTATGCAACCTGCAAGTGTACAAAAACATTAAGAATTGATAAGAAATTCAAAAATTAACAAAAGAACGGCTTAAGAAAAAATATCTGCAAATGCCTTTATCGTAACGTTAATATTTGTGAAATGTTTTCTTACATTAAACATATTTTCTCAAGCAGAATTACCTGTATAACAATATAGAACCAAAGCCCATAAAGCATCTCCATCAACATCCATTAATTCTATTTCATTTTGTGCCGACTCTCGCAGAGAGCTTGTGAACATGGCAGCAAAATATTCAGAGCCAGCACTGAGTACTAATCGATGAGCTGGGACACGCTTATTTCCTAAGAAAAGTACAGAACAGAGAAAAAAATATAAGAAATATGGGATGTGTCACAAGTTCATCGAGTGCGAAGAATATTTTCAATATGTGATGTGTACAAAATATAGTCTCTCTTCAATTTTTACTGGTTAAAAACTTTGAATAACAACTTTGAATAATATAAAGAATTTCTCTCTTTGAATCTTGATTATACATAAAAATATACATAAAATTATACATGAAAATGCACATTTTATGCAAACATTGGGATAAAATAATAACTCTCCTCGTTTTTATTAATTAAAACATTTGATTAACCATTATCATCTAAGTCCAATTGACAGTTGACACATAGATGCTGTTGTTATCAAAACAAAAAGCATCCCGGAGTCCGGGAAAGGGCGGGTACACTCACCCGCGATCAGCGTGACGTCTGTCAGCTGTTGCTTGTGCAGATAACTCTCCATAATTCGGAGGCTGCTTTCCGCGTGCTCGGGCGAGATGGACACGCATGACATTGTGGGGAAATTATTTTGAGTACGCACTGCACCTCGAATATCAATAAAATTATGCTCATTCGACAAGTTTTGACACGAAACGAAAGAATCTGGCAGAAAAATGCGGCGGTCTGCTCTGCGAAGCGAAATATTTAGCGTTAAAGTTGACGACTCTCAGGTTAGAAAAATTTTCCTACTGGACAAAACACGTCCGAACTGCCCCCCGCACGTTGAGCGAATTGCCCGGCGGCCGACCACATGTGCATGCTGAATGCTCTGTTGCCACATGCGCATGCTCCGTGGTCGCACGCGCAGACAAAAGTGCGCGAATTTGAAACGTATGCATTGGTCCAAAATATAGCTAAAAATTGACAGGTGTATCTCCTATTTGTCACCATGCCAAGGTGCTGTGGGCTAATCACCCAGTACATCTGAATTTAAAGCGATTACTGAAACCTTATAGGAGACCTTATGTTCCACTTGGGATTTAAAGTAACTAATCATTATTATCATGTACAAACAAGTGCCAAATTTAATGTTTCATAGTTACAATGGTTGAAATTTTTTCAATACAGTACGAAAATGTAAAAATTCTATAAAAATTGTTACATGCTAAGAAATATAGAAGAAATATAATACTTATTTAAATGTAAATTATCTAAAATTGTTTCAGAAAATAACAATGTAATTAATTTAACATGCATGCAATATTACAAGAGAGCAGATTCTGTCATATTTCTGAAACACCTAAATCATTACAAATATAAATTGCATAATTAGCAAGTCCAATTACTGATCGTTTAGTAAAAATAATCTACATGTTATTGGTTAAATTTTTTACAACAACACAGGGTCCCGCACGGCCAGCCTTAAGAGGAGCAACCTATAAACATAAAAAGGTTTAAGTTTACAAAATACATTTATAATTATTTCTATTTACCATATTCAATTACAGGAATAGTTTATACACTCACAGGTTCCCATTCGTTGAGATGTGGATCGTAGGCTTCCACTAGTGTGAGATATTGTTGGCCGTCGTATCCTCCCACGGCCATAAGTCGGTCACCTAATACGCACACACCAACTGCATCCCGGGGCACACTCATTGGCGCAACCATAGTCCACGTATCGGTTTTAGGATCATATCTATATTGTTACATCGCATTATATATAACTTGAAAGTTTTAACATATAATGTAACAGCGGCTTTATACCTTTCTACACAATCGAATCTGCTAGCATTGGGATTGCTAGCTGGAGCGTCGTGACCACCGAGTGCATAAAGGCAATCATTCACTACTCCTACGCCTACGCCGCCTCGTCTCTTCGACATAGGAGCGCACGGTGTCCATTTGTTCGTGTGCGGATCGTAACATTCTACTGTATTTAAGCAGGAACTGATATCTCTTCCTCCTACAGCGTACAATCTAAAACATCATAAAAAATTTAATATCAAATTTATTTTAAAAAATTCAATATTTAATAAAATTTAAAGTTAATAAAATAATATTTATACGAAGACACGTACTAAAAAGGAAATTAAAATGGTTGAAAACAGATATGACATATAAATTTAATAATTTATCTGTAAAGACTGACTTATCATTTAACACAGCTACACCGACTGTAGATCTTTGTATGGACATAGGACATATTGAACTCCACTGACGTGTTGCCGGATCCCATCTCTCTACTGCATCAAGAAAACTCCAACCGTCGTGACCACCAACAGCATATAAAGGTCCACCTAAGACTGCCACTCCTGAGAAAGAATATTATAACGTATTTGCTAGGGTTTGATTATGAATAAATGAAATCAACTGCACATTAATTTTGCAAATTCTCATGCATTTGCACATACCTAATCCGTGTCGATGAACATTCATAGGTGGTAAAGTGCTCCACGTAAGAGTGGAGAAATCGAAGCATTCTACTGTGTTCAATGTTTTTAAACCGTCTCTACCGCCCGCGACAATCAATTTTTTATCGACTACCACTGCGCCAAATTGTAATCTTCTACTGCTCATGGCTGCTAAAGATCTCCAAGCATTATCGCGTAATGAAAATGCATCTATAGATGTTGCACCTAGAAAGTAGTTTGCAAATTATTTCGCTTGCAAAAAGTAAAATAGTGCGACAATATTGGCATAATATATTTTCTTTACATTAATCGTGATCGATTAATTATCAGTTATGCGATTAATATTAAATAATTCATTTTGGATATAATAAATTACCTTTATTGGCGTCCATCCCTCCGACAGCTAACAACGTACCCACAGTGGCTTTTCTGGGTTTTGTTCTGCCTGTTTGAAGCAAAGGTCTTCGCTCAGGCAGCAAATGATACTTCAATGCTTCCATTACTAATTCCTGCGCCATTCTTTGGTCTTTGAACATTTCGTTACTCTCAATATTGTCAGCTATAAACTGTTTTGATTTATTAGTTGAGCTAATGCACAAATTCTGTCGAGTGAAAAAATTGAGCTGTCGATGAACTTACCGCGGGTGATAGCAATGGTAATTTGACTAAACCTAATAATTTACTGGCATCTTTGCTCCTGTTTTCCGGATCGTGTTCCAGCCAAGTCACTAGAGCCTGAAACAATAATGATAACGATTCTATTTATTCTGTATCTCAGCTTAGATATTTTAATTGCATTTGTATGAAATACTTGCTCAAGCAATTATAGAAATACGTATTTGTATATTCGTGATCAATAGTATAAAAAACTTATAGCTATGATAACATCTCCTTCTTAATATTTCATATAAATATTGTTTATATAATTATTATTCATATTGTTGGTTCGCTCAACAAACAGTTGTCTTACATGAAAGATAGTTTCTTCTGAAGGAACATTAAGATCCTCAGATTCAAGTAACTTTGCAACTTCATTGGCAGATAGCAGTAAGAATTCTTGATTTTTTGTAACTTCCATGAAATGTTTGGTAGTGTATGCGTGTGCGTATTCAAGCAATTCCGAACAACCCTGCGTATCGGCGAACATCCGTATGCCCAGACAGTTGCTAGGGTGAAGTTGTTTGACGAGAAATTGACAGCACGCTTTAATAACTGGATTCAATTGTAACAAACATGCTGTTGCAAGTAGAGTCTCTACGCTATCTTCCTGCAATTCTATGCAACCTGCAAGTGTACAAAAACATTAAGAATTGATAAGAAATTCAAAAATTAACAAAAGAACGGCTTAAGAAAAAATATCTGCAAATGCCTTTATCGTAACGTTAATATTTGTGAAATGTTTTCTTACATTAAACATATTTTCTCAAGCAGAATTACCTGTATAGCAATATAGAACCAAAGCCCATAAAGCATCTCCATCAACATCCATTAATTCTATTTCATTTTGTGCCGACTCTCGCAGAGAGCTTGTGAACATGGCAGCAAAGTATTCAGAGCCAGCACTGAGTACTAATCGATGAGCTGGGACACGCTTATTTCCTAAGAAAAAAGCACAGAACAGAGAAAAAAAATATGAGAAAACGGGATGTCACAAGTTCATCGAGTGCGAAGAATATTTCCAATATGTTGTGTACAAAATATACTCTCTCTTAAATTTTTACTGGTTAAAAACTTTTAATAATAAAAAGAATTTCTCTTTGAATCTTGATATTATACATAAAAATATACATAAAAATATATATGAAAATGCACATTTTATGTAAAAATATTGGGATAAAATAATAACTCTCCTCGTTTTTATTAATTAAAACATTTGATTAACCATTATCATCTGAATCATTACAAGTCCAATTGACAGTTGACACATAGATGCGTGGTTATCAAAACAAAAAGCACCCCGGAGCCCGGTACGGAAGGACGGGTACATACACTCACCCGCGATCAGCGTGACGTCTGTCAGCTGTTGCTTGTGCAGATAACTCTCCATAATTCGGAGGCTACTTTCCGCGTGCTTCGGCGAGATAGACACGCATGACATCATGCTGGAGATGCTGTGCTCGCTGGCGTCTTTATCCAGGCCCAGCGGGAATTCCTGCTGCTGCTGCTGTTGCTGCTGCTGCTGCTCGCCTTTGTTCGCCGCTCTCGCGGGAGAGCTTCCCGCTGCTCTCGACATGTTCATTCGCGGCCGCGTTGCGGTCCTTTGTTGCGGCGAGATTGCCAACGGGGAGACGGCGCCCGGCGCGAGTTCGTCAGGATGCGCCGAGATGCGCGATGTAAACAATGGATCGCGTTCAACCGCGGTCAACGACCATCGCTACCCGTCCAGCCTGTCCTACGGGTCAGCGCACTCGGCACTGCTCGGCACTGACTGCCGTTCCTACCAGCCGCATCGAACCTCGAGCCTCTCGTTGTTCGCTGCGCGACGCCCGTACGTCGTGCGGAGAATAAACAAAGAGCCAGGCGGATATACAGAGCGTGGTGGTAGCGAAAGCCCAGCATGGAGCTGCATATACTGCATCGACCTACTCCTTTTTTTTCACTTTGACACCTACTCTCTCCTTTTCACACGCCACACACGACCACACGTGCATACATTGGCATACATAGCTGCGTGTGTTACATATCTGTACATACACACTACAGATACTTTGCGTTGGAAGGTAGAATGTATTGGGAACGGGGCCGTTCATTTATTAAACATGAGTTTTACGCAAATGTTCATCGGACTTGAAACTAGATTTATTGATTTTTATTGTTCATAACATTATGCCGACTAGTTTAAACTGCATTCTCTTTGTCACTGCACTGGGAACCTTGAAAGATCATTTCTGGTCACCTGATTCCTTTATTTATATAGACTGCATGTCACACTTTTTAGTCACCCTTTTCTTACAAGTGAAAAAGATTTTAAGCATGACTAATGCTAATCAAAGTTGATCACAGTGACCTGTTAAAATAAATAATTCTTACATTTATTAATATATATATAATCCGATGGAGCACAATATTTCTCGCTTTAAAAAATTAAATAAAAGTATTTTTCTAATTTTATATCTAAGACATAAATACACAGATACAAAAAGTAGAGACGTTTACAACAGATATTAGAAAAAATGACGTTTATTGTACTTCAATGTAAATATAAATATATTTCTATGCATAAAGTTACTTTTGTGCAAGTTTATCTTACGCTTGATATAAAGATTTTTAATACAGTACACACACATATACATCAGAACTATGGCCATTATAATCATGTAATTTATTAATTGGATGATTTATAATATTCGATATTACTATGACATCAATTTTATGTGGAATAAGCTTATAGTTGTGCTTGATATACATGTGTACGTGTATGTGTGTACGTATATATGTATATATACATACACACAGTTTAATCACTTGGGTAATTTTTACTTAAATTATATATTCAATATTCTTTTTATAACTTTGGTACATAACACTGAATTGGTCTACGTAACAATTAAGCTGCAACTCTTGTATGAGATTTCTAATCACCTACTTTACTTCTTTCAAGACTATTATTTATTAATATTATATCTATCGCAAGAGCAATGTATGTTACATAAATTCTACATGGGTTCTGAAAGTGTAAGACATATTTACGGTTACGAAGTACAATAATAAATATGTAATCATATCATACATGCAAATGTACAAGAATTTTTTCGATGAAATACTGTACACAAATTTTTGGCCTTACTTTGCATCGGTTAACAATTTAGAGGTTCCGCTCAACGCTCTTTTTTTTGTCGCGTTTGTTTATGCTTTGCGACACTTATTTTACGTATTTTTAACATGTTGAAAAAATGACTCAGTCAATGTGTTGGAAGTTAATGAACTGTTAGGAAGCATTCAGTAGAAAATTATTTAATTTTGCTTTTTCTGTAGCAACCAATTATTTTATATCTATTAAAAATCAAAATAAAAGGGGACCCTAATATAATCGTACTATTATAATAAATGTTTTTGTAAAATATTACATAAATTAAACTTAGATGGCAGTAACAGAAATGTCTCGCGTTGCATAAATGTGTCGCGATTGTCGAATAAATTTACTACCAATATTATAAATGTTCATGAAAATACTTCATCGATCCGATTGCACCAACATTCAATTACAACCAACTTTCTTCCTGAATGTTACTCGATAATCTATGTTTTAATACTTAAGAAAGATCCCAACTACATTAACGATAAAAAATATTCATTTTTACTTTATAAAAGAGAAGCTTCTTATTTTTAAAGAATTTTTAAAGATTGTTACATTTTTTCTAGTAATTATAATTTTCTTTATAAAGATACAATATGTACCAATTACATAAAAAAAAGCCGAGTATAGTGTAACGAAATATTGTATACAATTAACTTTTCTTTATTGAAATTCAAATCAAGGCAAGAAAAATTGTAAATTGACTAAACTGAGGATATTGATGCAACCGACTTAATGTCGTACCGCGTATCCATAGCACCGTAACACCTCCAGGTGTTCTTCGTTAACGCGCTAGACGCAGATGGCTCCGCCGCATACTTGCTCGGATTTAGTTGAGGAGTCCGACTCTGAAAATGATCCGTAAAAGGGCCTTTTCCGACAACAACAGAACCGATCAAACAACTCTGTCAAGTTGCTTCTCTCGGAGTCGTCCCTGAAGATGCCGCTTGATGCCTCATCTGTGCATGGAGCTATAAACGTCTGCAGGTCGTTCTTCGGGAAACCTTCGCGATAATAGATCTTGATCGTGTCGTACGCGTCCATTATCACAGAAATAAACAGACTTAGAACAACGTAAATGTACAGCGAGATGAACGAATATAAATAGATTCTAGAGTACCACCATAACACAGCCGATTTGGAAGACGTGATGGAAAACGTGGCGAACATGTCATCGCCGTTGATTAACGCAAACAAGCACTCAGAGGTGGTCGCGAGGGAGCGAAACTTCATATTATATGGACCGAGCACCAGCCAGCCGCAGAATGTGAAACCGGCGTAAATGAGAACCGCGCATATCAAGAATCTTGCCACCTTCGGTGTCGCTTTCTTCAGAGTTAGAATGACAACGTTGTACGTCTTGAAGAAGCCAAGATAGCGCAACACACCGAACCACACAAGCAGGTTTCCGGTTCCGAGAAATATGCTGCAAATATTCCAGTGATCACTCTCGGAGTGCTTCCGTTCAATTTGTTCCTTTATGACGGTACCGATGATAATAAGTAGATCGTTGATAATGATCATGATGTACCAGAGGTTCAAGAATTCCAGTCGACCTTCGAGGCTTAGCGTTGTCCCGTACGTTTTCTTGAAGAAGTTAATAGTCTCGAACTTCAGTAACTGTGCTCTGTATATCGCTCGCGAGCACAACAGTAGAGAAATCGTACAGATCAGTATGACAAGTAAATTTAGCAGAGTCCTTAGCGCCGATTCGATGCGATTGTCCGTGATGTAACGGGTATCACCTTTGCATTGCAACTTCCTAGCGTCAGCGTCTAACGAGAGCAGCATCTGTCCATCGAAATCACGGTTGTCAAAGATGATCTTGATGTTGAAACGGTAACAATCGGGTGGCGTCATTGGTCCGGCCGCTTTCAGATTTACAGTCTTTAGAGCAAATTTGAGATGGGCGCGTACCAGCGCGGAGAAATTGACGTCAATATTTCTGTCCTGCAGAAGATTGTGCGACGAGTTAAACGTGTTGAAGGTCTCGAGACTGACGTTCATGCATGTTTCCACAATCTCGCTGTCAAACACGTAGCTCTCATTGAAACCGAATATGATGCCCTCCTTATACTGATAAAGACATAGGGCTACAGGACCGACCGAATTGTCTTCGGCAATGTAGGAGTACGAGCCGATAGCGTCGTCAACGTTGTAATAACTGTGTAGAGCGTAATCGATAGTATCGTAAAAATCGCTTCGCTTGTAGATAGCCAACGGTCCTGTCGCAGGTGGATATGCAGGTACCTGAAGCATTTACGAGCGCCATAAGTTTACATTTATGCTTACCATTTGATATAATAAAAAAGAAAGAAAAATATCAATTCAAATGGGATAATTTCTTATTTCGCCATAATCTATCTAGGCGTTACGAATTAAGACACAAAGTGATGAAAATATAGTAATTATTTAAGCTTCTAAAACTATTTCGAGTTATATGATAAATTATATTATTGAAGTATCTTTCATGTTATTCTCATCTTCTGTTAGAAAGCATTAAAAAATAAACATCTAGATTTATGAATATATGAATGAAATGCAATCAACTTGCATACCTCTTGAGCAGATTCCCATCCCATTAAAAAAAGATGGGAGAACGTGATTCGGTTGTCCCAAGTGTAATTTACGTGCATATAATTGCTGTGTGCGAATAAACAGAGCTGTACGGTTACAAGGATGATCTTGATAACCTGGACGACAAACTTGTAAGGGAAACGTCGTTTCGCTTGCCACTTTTCGACCGGATTCATAAAGAAGAATCGCAGTTTGCGCCGCATTTTGTCCTCCGCAAACGTCACAATTGGGCAAGTCTTGCATTCCAGTGGCGTAGAATGATTTTGCCTATAATACATAAAATACATTTTACATTTATTATTTCATATAGCATTTCCATGAAACTTTCTAAATATAATATCAGAGCTTATTATATTAAATCATGAGTAAAATTCTGTTATAATAAATATTGTTTTCTAATAATTTGTAATTTTCTGTTATATTTTTTTTGTAATAAGATGTAGATAATAGTTTTTGTCGAAAAGAATTTTTAATTATATTTAATCTTAGTAATAATATCATACATTAGTTTAGATATTTATTTATATTACTGATTTCCACTAGTTGTTATTGACTTCTTTTTTCCTTCTTCATCCGCCTTACATTTTTGTAACTGATATACAGAAATAAATATAAAGATTTTTTTCTATTCACAGAAAATTCAATTAATCTCGTATGCAAAGCTAAGGCACTCTTGATAAAAATATCTAGTTTGTGATAATGACGACATTTCCGAGTATGGTAAAAATGGTATAATATAATACTTGAAAATGTGATAACATGTATTTAAGCAGAGATTATAGGTATTCACGTAGGCGCAGCATGGTAAAACATATGTCAGTTATTGTAGATAGTGATTTTTTGTTGATTGATCATAAATTACTTTAAATAAAAAAACGTGCATATCTGGTACTTATCTTATCTGTGAGAATACGTCGACTAGTGAATTAGAAGTTAAATAGATTACATACAAGCAAGTAGTTATTAACAATACTATAATAACTTCTACTGAATGTTAATGCATAATTATAGGATTATGTCATATAAGAAATTACTTTTAGTTTATCAAATTATGATTAATTTGTACTAACAAAAATTATTTTTATCACATTCAATATTAACAGTAATGTATTTGCATAAAAATGTAGAAAAAATGCAAAATAAACAATATAAGTTGGATTCATAAAAGTTAATTATAATAATGAATCAATGAAATCAGCACAGTAATATTACTGATTGAAAAACAATGTGTTTTTAACGATAATAATGTCAAATAGACAAATTTTGCAACATACCTTATTTCGATAGCATAAATATGAAATATCTAATACATTTATATTTGGTATAAGAATCAAAATACATACAAAGACTTGTATGATATTAAACGTGCATTGTATTCAATGCCAAGATTCGTGTTTATTTCTTCAACACGATTGTTGTTAGGAAAATATATGTAAAAGAAAATAGACGACATATTATATACTTTGTGATAAAAAATGATGCAATTTATAAATTCTTATTTACGTTTTTTGTTGACGATTATGTGGCAGATAAGCAATAGTTTTATTTTACATGGTCCGCTCGTATATTCTTCGAACTGTCTCTAATACTTACATGAAGTAGAATTGGTTGTGATTTCTTCCAAGCTATTGCTTAGGAATTTTATCGCGGAATATTCGCGCATTTGGATTGTAGAAACAAAAATGTCAAAAAAACTGAACAAAGCAACGTTTATTTTGGGAGCTTTCCAACAAGCGACACAAGTTGACACAAACGTCGTTCTATCTTTCTTTTTTGGCAATAAATAACAAAGACAAAACGACACTTGTGTCGACTTGTGTCGCTTGCTGGGAAGCTCCAATTATAACTGATATAAACGTTGCTTTGTTTACATATTATGTGCTTTCCATTTACATCAAAACTCAGATAATTCTCACTTGTGACGTCGTTCTATCCTTTTTGGCAATTAATGAGTAATAAAAACATAATTATGTCACAAGTGAGAATTATCTAAGTTTTGATGTAAATGGAAAGCATCTAATATCAACTTATATTATGACTTTATGTTATCAACGTTTATATTATAAAATAACAGAGCAGAGTCCACTCGATTGTGAGACAAAGAAATGCAATAATACCAAGTCTATTACATGCCATCAACCTAATTATCAATGTAATTTAATAGCGCTCGTGATAAGTGGCGAATACAATTACAACAGTCTTCGGTTCGACTGACAATTTTGATAAGCACTCTCGCGTTACACGAACCTCTGCTCGCTGGCCTCGTTCAGCAATGTGTTCTCGCTGGCGATCTCTTCCTCCTCGCTGTCGTTACCGTAGCTCCAGGTGCGGTTCTGCAGCTTGTTCCCGACCGAGGTGTCCTCGTGCTGGGGGGTCCTCTTGCGCGCCTCCATCCTCCGTGAAACTCCGATGTACGATCGAAGAGTGAGTCAACGATGAGCGTACGCACACGTGGAAGTGTCAACAAAGCCCAACAAGCGAGCGTCCTATCCCGCGGAGTCCTCGTCGTCGTCGCTCCGGCCCTCCAACTGTCGATGAAACATCCAGCTGTTCACATGCGTGGATCTGCGCGGACGATTTCAGTTCGGAATGAGTGCCGCGTATTTGACGTCATCGCGCCGATAGATTAAACAAATGCGTACCTGAGCGCGACGAGTATTTAGCAGCAGACGCAGCGACGTCGAATCACCAGCCATCGCACGCCACCCACCTCGATGCAACGACCGAGCTCGACTGTGCGCGCAGCGCGCGCGCGCTCTAGTGAGCGACGCCGCTGATTGGTTGCGCGCGCGCGGCGGAGGGAAGGCGAGGATGTGACGCGACGCAAGTCGCAACTCTCGCAATCGCAAGTCGCACTTCTCGTTCTTCTCTCTCTCGAGACTCTCAAGGACTCGAGTACTTTGTAGTTCTTCCGTTGGATATAATATCGTGTTGTCACGGAACGTTATTATAGTTCGAAGAATCAATGATTACTGGCTAAGAACAGTAAGAACAATAGAATTCTTTGTCAGATATACTACACTGTTCTAACGGGTGTCTCTTTTGCATGAAACGCTCAGCTGATAACATTTTTTGTTCTACTGTAGGCTGCGCTCAGTCGAAAAAGCAGTAAGCATTCAGGGATCCTTGATTATTATATTAATTGGTGTCTATATTTAGATCCGATAAAGAATTAAAGGCAAGAACAAGAATCATGTTTTTCGCAAATATCTATATTTTTCTACTCCTGTCTTTAATACGAGGTAGAATAATCGGCACGACGGCACGAGTTTATTGTTTTTTTTTTTCAATGCGCGTAAGGTGCACGGAAAGTGCAGCCACGAGCAACAGGTGCAGCATTGGCGCGGCAGGTTGTCCGTAATACCGTGAAGTTGGCCGCGCGACTTACGAATTCTCTCCGTCGCCATATTATACGACGCCGATGTGGCGAGCGGACTGTGTAACTTCGCGCGTACGTAATCGCTACCTTATTCCCGCGTTATTCTTCCGTCGTGGTATAATAAAATGCGCGGCGCGTGCGATTGACGTCGGTAGTGCCGTGTACAGAGTGTCGCGCGTCCGCGATTAACCGTGTTTTCGCGAGCGAGTGTGGTGCGCGTGTGTCACGAAGAAGGAGGAACGGGGACAGCCAAGAGAGGAGGAGGAGGCCCGGGGAAGGCATCGGGCGACGCCGAAGCAATCATGGGGTAATTATTTACTTATCACTTAGGCCCAGTTTCACAAGTGTCGGTTAACTTTTAACCTTAGATTAACTCACTCTTCGTCTCCTTCTAACGTTTTCCTTAGAAAGAGACGAAGAGTGAGTTAATCTAAGGTTAAAAGTTAACCGACACTTGTGAAACTGGGCCTTACCATACTAAGTGGCGGTTTTAAGGCCCCGACTCGATTCAATCCTACAATATATTGATGCACGCATTTACAATGTCTTTTAAGCGCGCGTATAGGCGCTTAAAGAAAAATCTGCCAGTATAATATCGATCGAACGCGAATATGCGACAATACAGTCAAGTAAACTCCGTGTGACAGTAGCGTTATTTATCACGTAGTACATCATGTCAATGCAAACATGTAACAGTTTCGTGCGACTGTAATATTTCTCACAGATTGCTTTTATGTGAACGAGTTAATTGAAATGTGCAATAATGACAAGCGGTAATCGCGGTAATTATTTTTTGCATATCAGCATTATTCAATTAAATATATATCTGTTTAGAAAACGAATAAAAAGTTTAAAACATGAGGAACAATTATTTTTTTAAATATTATCGACTACAATATTTAATTTTGAACACTGCTTTAATTTGAATATATTTGTGTGTTATACAGATCAAGTGCTACAATTCCGCTGCTGTGTATCTCTCTCTTACCGGTGAGTATTAAAGTATTTTTTATTTCAATCTTCTGCGCGCGCGCTTGATAGCAATATGCAAATAAATGTACATAAATAAGTAAGGGTATAAGCCTTTTTTATTCTTATTGACGTTTACCGTGCCATTTCACTTAGTAATTAATTTCACTTAATAATTAATTGAAATGTTCAATTTATTAGAAATTTTTTATCTGGTTTTATCTACACGCACGCATACATATGTGTAAATTGAATACTTTTTGGCATAAATCAATTTTTTGGTTCTGAAATTTGTCATATTTAAACGTTCGATTCTATTTAAAGAAACTAAATTTTGAAGCGAAAAATGTTTTTGCAAAGATAAATGTTTTTAGAATTGATAGTACGTTAGATAGGTAATCGGCGTATCTTGGTTAGATAAAGGAAGTCTATCCTTAGCTAACTATCGCACTTGCATAGCCTTGACTGAGCAAAATAAAAGCTTGCGCGTTCTAGTTTGGTATTGAATTCAGTGCAGTCTTCTCTATGATGTCATCATATGGTAGCGCTTGCGCGGGTCATTTAATCTCTATGACGTTATTTTCTTAATAATATATTATTTAATATTAATATTATTTGTATCATGATTTATTTTATTCTTTAACGTTATGTTTATAAATTTTTACAAACTGTCACAGTTACAGTTCTAACTCATGAAAATATATATATTAAATGAATTTGTTGTGTGTATGTATACACACACACCGCAATGAATTTGATTTGGATGTATTTAACTTTGGACGCGAAGACATATAACGCTGAGTGTATAAATTTACGTCTACTCCAACTTTATTGCATTGCTTCTAATGCTTCTTTTAATTACAATTTAATCTACTTCGCAATCGAATTGTGCAAATTAATTACAGATAGAAAAGTATTGTCTTTCAGTAATTGATCTTATTTATTGAATGATATAATTGTATGCCTTTGAATGAAAGGAAATCAAGCTATGAGAAGAATATTATATTCGTTTTCGTAAAAAAATTTTGAGATTGCTTTTGAAAGGATTTATTTCTTATCAGATCATGTGGCGAAATCGTAGATTGGATCGTAGATTTAGATTTTATATAAGTTCTTTTGAAAATGTATACTATCCAAGTGTAATATATACTTTAAGAAATAATATTTTTCCAAGAAAATACGATATTACGCAATAAAATAAAGTAGCGTAACAAAATAAGGATTTATGTTTTATATACAGTTTTATATTACAGTTTTATTACTCACTTACACGCGCGAGCAAGCACACACATACACTGCATGTGCGCAATTTTTCTAAGCTTTCTATCCGTTTACTTTTGATCTTGTTTGAGATAAACAAGTGCTACACGTTTGTGTATGAGAAAATTACAATTTTATAAGACAAATATAGTTTCTTAACGAATGTCTAGAATTACGAAAAAGTAAATGAACAAATATTAATTATGAATAATTATAATACTTTCCAAATTCTAATTTATAAATCACATATAGTTTTATATTTTATCTCGTAGAAATATATTTTTCCTGATACATGATCTATATAAAAATCTTTATTTTTTCTGCTATTTTTATTTTATTACGTAATATTATTTTCTGACAAACATATTATTTCTTAACAATTGTATATTACAAGATTGTATAAATTCATTGAAAAGAACTTATTATATCAAGTCAAAGATATTTACAATGTAACTTTTCGCTGTAAGAATTGTAAAAAATAAATAATTGAATCTTAAAAAAGAACTTTGAAATCTTTTTATGAAAACGAATATAATACTCTTCTCATAGCTTGATTCTCTTTCATCGCAAAAACAATAAGTCTGATTTTTTACAATGCCATATATCAATATCGAAAATTACAACAGTTTGCAATTTAGAAATTTGCAATATAACTTTACTTTTTGATAACTCATGAGCAATCGTGAGAGAAAAGTAAACAAAATATATTTGTAATAGTACTTATTAATACATATTGTTCTATTCATTTGTAATTATTTACGTTTAAAAAACAAGACAATATTTTCTCTTTTTGATTTATAAAAAAAAGGAAAATTAGGATCTGCAATCAATGTCGAATGAAAACCGTGTGTTCTTTAAAAAATTTTGTCTATTTGTAATCAATCTTGTGGAGAGTATCAACTAGACTAAAACGAGCATGCACTTATGTCAGCAATGTATAACTGTCTACGTGTGATAATTAATTGCTTTGCATATTGACATTGTTACGTGTTCAATATTTGCAGATATTGAACGGATGAGAGATACAGTGTAATATAAGCATACCTGATATAATAGAACAATATCGAAATCTGCGAACGAGAGGATATCCGGTTTTTTTAGAGTGTACATTTTTCATCACATTTGTAGTTTGTGATTTCCTTCCGGAAAAAAATATATATAATACATACAATCACGAATCTCTCTCACGATTTGGGTGAGGTTCAAGCATCAGTAACTTTCAGTCGCGTCAACTTGCTTAGGAGTATGACGGAATAAATCGGAGTAACCCAGATTACGGCAGAATTCGCGACGAAGGATACGCCGAAATATATGTCGGAACGAATCGCGGAGGATTTAGCTTGCGTAATCAGGATAGACAAACCAGAGTTAGTCAGGGTAGGCTGGAGATAAGCGCACCCTAGAGGAGTCCTGATCGTGACTAGCCTCGTCCGAGGGTGAGAATCGAATGGTTGACTCTTGGGGGGTGGTGCGCGCGCGTTGTCGCGCGATATCGGTGGCTGCGCGTTGACACGACGCGCGTACTCGCTGCGCCGGCAGCGCAGCATTACGTCCGCGTTACCCTCGCGACACGGAAGAGCGAGCGGAGCGGAGAGTGCGTCCTGACGCGCGCGCCAACCACTTAGGCGAGGAAGCGCGCATCAGCCAAGAGACCCGAGCGAGACAAGCTCCGGTCCTCGACGTCGCTCCGACGTGGGCGCAGTCGGTCGCTCCTCGCCGTTACGATCACTTCTGCGAGTACCGGATATTAATTCGTGTGCGAGTCGCGCGAATAAATAACGTGTATCGGAGCCGAGACCGGAATCCGATCAGCCCGGCTTTTCAACGAGCACCGCCGAAAACGTGTCATCACGTGCGTACACGACGAAGTTGGTCTTAGGAGCAGTCTGTTCTTCCTCATCGGTCAGAATCCCGAAGAGCGATCATCTTCCGCACTACCTAGTCTGTCGCGATCGACTCCGGGATTTCCTAGGTCGTCGACCTTGTGGTCTTCCTGCCTCTCATCGTCCTGCGCGAGTGTCGCGTAACGTTTCACCGAGCAAAGTGCAGTTCTGTGTCGTCTTTTGTAGCGTGATCCTTTGTCATCTTTAATCCTCCTGGGAATTTCTCAGCTGTGAGCCTTCCACTTGTGGTGTCTGATCGTTTCGTCGGCGTCGACGAGTAGTTTCGTCTGTCCACGCGACCAGCTGCTACCGTCTTTCTCTGTCGCTCTCTTTCTCTCTCTCACTCTCTCTTACGTCGCGCCAGTCGCAGCATGGGGGACCAGGAGCAACAGGAAACGATGCCGAGCGTGGTTGAGTTGAACGTGGGCGGCGTCTTCTACACCACTGCTTTGACTACGCTGACCCGCGAGAGCGATTCTCACTTGGCTGCGCTCTTCACTGGCAAATCCGCTGTGGAAAAGGATGCCAAGGGCAAATATTTTCTGGACCGCGACGGCGTGCTTTTCCGTTACGTATTGGACTTCCTGCGTAATCAGGCGCTCGTTTTACCCGAGGGCTTTCGCGAGCGTGAAAGGCTCAAACAGGAGGCGAACTTCTACGGCCTGCCCGGTTTAGAGAAGGCAATTTTGGAGAATTCCGGCGGACAAGCCGGCGGCGCGACTGGCAAACGCGCGCCAGGATACATCACCATCGGCTATCGGGGCAGCTTTGCCTTCGGTCGCGAGGGCCTAGCCGACGTCAAGTTCCGCAAGCTCTCGAGGATCCTCGTATGCGGCCGCGTGGCACTCTGCCGGGACGTCTTCGGCGAAACGCTGAACGAAAGTCGCGATCCCGACCACGGCATGTCCGATCGCTACACATCGCGCTTTTTCCTGAAGCACAGCGTCATCGAACAGGCCTTCGATATGCTGCAGGAGCAGGGCTTCCGACTAGCGGGTAGCTGCGGCTCCGGCACCGCCGGGAGCAACTCCGAGCAGCTAAAGCCCGGAGTGGATTCTGAGGAGAATCGTTGGAATCATTATAACGAGTTCGTCTTCGTGCGCGATTAAAAAGTTTCGCGAGCGAGTGAGATGTACTTTGGCTAAGCATCGTTGACGGCTCGCATTTTGCAAAAGTACGCGTTTGCAGTTGCCGCGTAAAAAAGGACTTCTTCGGTTATTTGAAGCGATTCAGGCGGAAATGGAAACATTCGCGAAAACACGTGTGCCAAACGTGCGAGCGGATAACAAGATAAATACGGAACTCTCGTTTATAGCTTACTCCATGATATGCATAATGAGGTCGATGTGCAAAATCAAGTTCAACAGGAACTTCGTACGACAGCATCGGACGAAACATCGTTCCTATAAGTAATTTCGTCTCGTAAGAAAATTTCCCGAAGTCACCGCTATCATCAATCAACGTTGACGTAAAAGGAATTTGGGACACTTCGACGTTCGAGAATATTAACATCATCAGCTTTCCGAAACATTATATTCTGGAATTTTTTTTTCACTTTAATCGATTCTTTTACCGGAATGAGAAAATGGATAAGACACGACGAAGATAGATATCCGAGAACTGTCGCCTTTCAGAACCCTCGTCTAAAACATTGACAGCGCTGAAATAACGAGGAATTGGATTTTTGTATTAAGAAGAACCACGAACTCGTTGAGCGTGATCACGTTGGATCTACGAATACCATTTGCTTAATTTAAGATGTAACATAGAGAATTATGAGCGGCAAGTCAATGTCGAACTTAAAATTAGTCAACGTCGAAGATAATAATCCAGGGAACGTATATAACAGTCGTGTTGAAACCAAAGACGTTCCGTTAAATTCGTGATTGTATGTTATTTTATGTGTAACTTTATGTGTAGATATTCAACTGTAAATGAGTTTGATCCACAACTGTACAAAAAAGAATCTAAAACTTTTCCGAATGCGGCGCGTTAGGATCTTCCGTAATCGAAACGCGCCGACGGCAGTAAGAAAATTGCCATTTCCGACAAAAATCTGAGGTGCCCCTATCAGGGGCCGTTGCGAGGGAGAAACGTTTATTAAAAAGCAGTCTCGCGTGAATCCACGAGATGAAAGACGCCAATATCGGGCGTTTTTCATTGCCAGTGGACGCAAAGTAAGACGGTGAATGAAACGTGCGCAAGAAAAGCGGATCGGGGTGAAGGGATGATGTTGAAATATCTACGGGCGAAACGCGACTTGGCCACTTAAAGAGGTAACGATGTCAGATACGTCAGTGATAAATGTCGCTGGATGCAACGGGCGAGAAAATGTAAGGAAACATCGTAAATGCAAAATGGACTTGACGTGGAATACAAGTATCGGCTGCTATTTAAAATCAGATTGAACGAATGACGCAATAACGTTTGCGTGTGTGTTTTATTCGCGTATGACGCAAGAGGAAATTAAAGGTGATGAAAAATTTCAATTATCGTCTGATAACGAGACCATTATTTAAAGAAAGTCTCCGGTGCTAGTACGCCGAGTAGTTAGTACTGGTAAATGGTCGGGCCGAGTAGTCACTGCTAGATAACGGTCAGACCGAGTAGTTACTACTGATCGCTAGTCGGACCAAGTAGTTAGCGGTACGCTAGAATCGGATCTTTTCTTTAAGTAGAAAATACGCGGTGAAAGAACGGCGGCGAGAGTGATGTAGATATCGATATACCTATGCGTGAATTATCCTTTCTGTATAAATTCGGCTTAAATTAGGTGACTAGCACCATCCTCGAGATGGGCGGAGCGGCTTGTCGAATGCGTGTACTTACAACCCGACACGATGTCAAACGCGCTATTCGAAAGACGGAACGCCCGAATAAACGTGATCTCTTCTAATGATTTCTTGTCAGTGTTTTTTTTTTTTAAACGAGTCTGAGTCGAATGCTTTTCTTTTTCGTTCTAAATTCTTTTCTCTGGAAAGCGGAACGTAAATATGGCAAGCAATTCATAACTTTCGATCTGTTGACTCGCGGAAATATCGGAACTCGGAACACGACGGAAAGCGAAATATTGTTATAAATTTACAGTTTCGAGTTTCTCGTCGTAAATCAGTGTATTTATGAAAACATCTAGATAACCGAGATATCTTTTTCCTTCGTAATACAATAGTGTTTTACGGAATATACTTGAAAAAAGTTTTGAACAATTTTTCAAATGAAAACAGAGTTACAAATTATAAAGAGTCGGCCACTTTTATTATTTCTTTTATTATTTTAAAAAATTTTTATTATCACAATTTTATTTCATACTAATACTTATTTATTGTTACTTTTAACGGATATTTTTTCGCATATTTTGAAGTTCAATTTATCTTACATGCCTTTTTAATTTTTTTATTATACTATACAATTAAAATATAAAGAAGCAGATTTTTATTTCAGACTTTCCAATTATTTCATGGTGAGATATTGTTTATTTATCTAGTTATTAACATTATTAATAATTGTTGGCATATTCAGAATGATGAAAGAATCGAAAAATTCATCGCGATTATAAACTTGTTGCAACAGGTTATCATGTAACAGACAATGTTTAGCGATTGTTCCGAAGAGTGCCGACGGCGCTGAACAGACGAGACAGGTATCGAGTTTCGCGTTAGCTGCTCGTTATCGTAGTATACGCGTAAAATGTCGAAGATTTTCTTAAAAATAACGGAGGTAATAAATCTCGTATCGTAGCAATGTCTCATATATCATTATCATTATGACACTTAATATGGCGATCGATGAATGTGTAGAATCACAATAGAGTTATCACAACTTTCAATGCACACATTTAACTTTTCGTAACTTGTTAGCAGAATCAAAATTATATATTCGCGAAAGATTTATTGCTACGAAAATCAAGACGAAAAATTTCACATTTGGGTGCTTGCTCTTTATAATTTCGATATGCATTGCGGTAATCCGAAAAAAGAAAAGCAACTTTGGAGCGATGATGCGAATCATAATCGTTATTGTTGGTGCATGGTTCGCTGTTCGATGAACGCGACGCATCTGCATTCGCAATGAATTGATTTATAATGACGTTACATGTTCGGCTTGTTGTGCGAGTTATGCGTGTCAATGCGAGGTGTTATATGTAACTGAGAGTGGACATGATAGCCCAATGTGTACTCGAGAAAATTTAATTTGTCTATACTGCGTGGCCCGCCACCGAAACTTTTAATTTCTCGCAATTGTGACATTTCATGAAAACTGATGCTGGTTGCTAAAAATCTATAAGACGATGTCCCGTTCACTAACACTAAGAGAAAACGTTATTATTGCGCAACATAACTCAAGTGAAACGAGTGAGCGACGTTTTCCAAGTTTGTGTCTCGTGAGATATCAGCTTTCAGATATGATCTGCAATTAATCATGATTACGACGGTTGCGTTGAGCAACGCGTCAAATCTTGTTGGGAGCTTCTATTGATTAATGTGGAGCAGTGTGGCATCGTAATCGTTACGCGATTACAATTAGTAAATTGCCTACTTCCATTTACTCTGTACAAATAAAAGACATTCAGGTAAATCAAACTTGTAAGATAGTAGACGTTAATTGCACGACGTTAATGCAAAGAGTCTCACGTACGTAGGACGACTATAAACTTCGATTTGCTTTACAATGGTACAAATTTTAATCTTTACCAACGGATATGTGTCATTCAGACATTTGTGTTTTTTACGTATTAAAATTAATATTCGATACTTTTGGAATAATCATTTATTGAATTCCACGATTTTATTTGACGAAGTTCTATGTTAATTTACAACTAAATTAGTTGCACAGCATGTGCGAATATGTAAAATTGGGCCCAAATAAATATTCATGCGGTAAATTCAGCGCGTTGGAGTTATTAATTATTGATATCTCATTTCGAGTCTCCGCGGTTATTAAAATATCAATGACTGATTTTAGTCTACCATACGCGTTTATCTGTATAATGTCAAATAGAATTAAAATATATTTTCTGACCCTTTATTTCTCGGATATTTGGGACGATAAAAACGATTTCCATTCTGAAATATAGCAAAAAGACATGCAAACATTTTATATTTTATATTTTATATTTTATATTTTGTTTATTTAAATATTAATATATTGGATGTTTAGAATTATGAGAATATATATTTATAACTTTTTGTTTAATTATATTCTGGTTTTGACAAAATTTTTTAGTTTTAGGTGGAAACAAATGTTGTATAAAATGCATTTTTGTTGTAAGTTTTAGAAGATATAAATTGTCTTTACACATCCGAGTGTACGCAGTATTGTTGATTTATTTGTAGCGATATATTATGTGTGCGTGGAGAGCGATAGAGAATTGAGATTGATGATAAGATTCGTGATATAGAGGCTCTATTTCATAGATTAAAAGCTGTATTACGACTTGCTGCGAAAGAAAGCGAGTCACGAGCGAATAAATTTGACAGAACTCAATTTTTTGAGTTCCATCGAATTTTAAAGAATTCGAATTTCATCAAAATTTATTGATTAATAAAATCTTTGTTTAATATTATAACTTTTGATAATTGAGAAACAACTATCCTATCGAATATTCTCTTTACTCTTTTTCCAGTTCAAATCTTTGTTCTGTTTCAGAAAGTTCAATATTTGATGGAATTCGAATTTCGCGAAGTTTGATTAAATTTTCTCTTAGCTATTTTTAATCAAATAAGCTTCTTATGAACTCCACCAAACTTCTTTCTTTGATGTAAAGTTTCTGTAAGTATTGCTGAAGTTTAGAGTTTGGTGTTGGGATTCTAAATTTTATTTATAAGATATGATAGAAAACATAGGAACCAGTAGGAAAATAATGTAATTGACGATGTGATCGGATCATTTTTCAAATTATAACCATGATATACTGAAAGACATCTTTGCTATCTATAACGACAAAATGGTTTTGCTAAAGTATTTTTTTAAATCTAATTAGAAGACATCTTGACCAATTGAATTTAGAAATATATGAAATATCTTTATATATCATTTAAAATGCGTACTTAATACTTATATTTATTGATACAATCAGATGAAGGAACGAGTTTTTTTTCGCGCGCATTGCGTGCGATTTGACATTTTTTGAGAAATAGTCCGACCAGAAATTGCAACGCGCATCGTGGAAACGTTTTGATTCCCATATTCGAGATTCAGAATTTATTAAAAAGGATCCAACGAGTAGAAACAAAACGGTGTTAGGTAGCGTGTAAGACTGCGACGATATAAAATTATTGTACATGTATATATACATATGTCTAAGTAAAAAGAAGAGAAATAAAAGATTGAGATGATACGAGAATGAGCCTGATTAAAATGATTCTTGATCCATGTTTTTTCGTGACTTTTGATATTTTCCGGTCTTCAGATTAAGCTCCCGTCACTGCTTTTTCTTTTTAAATTCAGGTCAGGCAAACAGGAACAAAAAGTTACACGTAATATACAATTATGTAAATGTTTCAAAAGGTAAATCACGGCTGAATTTATAAAGCATAGTTAACATGCAGTAAATTATGTTTTTAAATTATTTCTCTAATGAAGACCGATGTTAAATTTTTAAAATGTCATAGTTAAAATTTCTTTACTATGTGTACTTTGATTTTCTACAACTCGATTTTTTTTTTTTTAAAGATGTTACATTTTCCTGTTTTTAATATTGGGTCGTAGTGTTTAGAATATGTCTTAATTATTTAAATCATAATCAACTTGAAATATTTGATTCTAAATAATATACAGCAAACATGAAAAAATATATAAAATTTTAAACAGGAAAGATGTGTTTTTTAATGAAATGCTTTTATAATATTAATAGCACTTCAAAGTAGTTTTTCAACTATATAGGTATATGAATTAGAGGAGTGAATTATTACTGAAATTATAGGTATAGGTATAATCCATGAGATAAAAAAAATTAGTTGCTTGGGATTAAAACCTAAAAATTGAGATAATTAATTTACCTTCATAATCATGCTTTTTAATATGAAAAATATAGAATATTGTATACAATTTCCATTCTTTACGAAAAATTTAAATGCGTGGTTGTAACTTGTTTTTAATACAGATTTAATACAGATTTTTGATACTTGTAGTTGAAACCATTTATTATATGCTTTATGCATTTGGCGATATCCAGTCGAATTGAATAATAAATAAAACTAAAAATATGTTGGGTTATTTTTTAAGATAATCCCCAAATCTGCAATGAAATGCGTGTGAAAGAAATACATGTTTTCTGTCTTGAGTTAGAATATAATTGAAATTTATTGAAATCCAACAGAAACTGTAGCGAACGTTTCCCTTTAAGCTTTTCATTATGGAGAGAAGTAATGATATTACTTCAAAGTAGTTTTTCAACCATATAGGTATATGAATTAGAGGAGTGAATAATTTTTATATTACTGAAATTATAGGTATAGGTATAATCTATGAAATAAAAAAATTAGTTGCTTGGGATTAAAACCTAAAAATTGAGATAATTACTTTACCTTCCGATAATAAAAGAGTTAACCATGCACACACACACACACACATATTCACACGTACGTATATAATCTCTAATCTGTAGTAACACTGTACGTCCTATATATTTTTTTAAAGCGATAAGAAATTAATTTTTACAAAATTAATTATAAATCTCGCTTTTTGAGATAGATTAGAATAGATTAGAATTCTTTAAATTTGAATGTCATTGAGAGACAAATAAATTCAATTTATAAATCTCGCGCGTATTTGAGAGCCAAAAGGTAGGGCTAATATAAGGTTGCTCTTCCACAATATAACCTTATTATTCTCTTTGAGACTTCTGATGGGGAATATATAAACTTTTATTAAGTCTGACGGGAATATCGGAAAAAAATCATAATGGCTGCACGTAACATCAAATTAATCGTGCAGCAAGAAGGGATCGTTCCGCCGCCAAACGGGAGAAGGAAGAGCCGATTCTCCTTGTACGATAGTTCTCCTGTCGAAGAGGAGATTGCGCGTTAACGAACGAAGCGCTTGCGCCGGAAGGTGGTGGATGCAAACTCGATTGCCTGTTTGAATGAACTGTCACACTTACACGGAAGCGAACGCCCAGCTCGTTGCAGATATAGCGAGGCTGCGTTGCACAGGGGAGCAATCTGTTGCTGAGTTTTCATCCGTCAGCGAGAAAGAGAGAAGAAAAAGAGGAAAGGAATGAGAAAGAAAGAATACGCGTCATCAGCGAGACGTAAGAAAAATCGAGTTTCTTTTTGACAACGCTTCATCATCGCGTGGTTGAAAATGCGAATAATAGGACATTGTTTACTTTCGCTGTTATCGTTTCTCTTTGAAGCTTCTGATGATGATGTAAATATGTAAAATTTTATGAAGAAAATTATTTTTCTTGTGAAAGATAATATTACCACTTATGTACAGCTAAAGAGAGCTTGAGAAAAGTGCTTTACATATATACTCTTCATATACTTTAATGATTTTAATGGGAACAAGGAAGACTTTATGCTATTTTTCTTTTAGGATCGTTTATGAGATATTTCAGATAGAAACAGATAAATTTCAGATAGAAACAGATAGATTTTGCAAATAATACCTAATGAAAAAAATTAGTTAAAATAATAAGAAAAGAAACTTGCTAAAATTAAAAGCAAATTGAGAATATATACATTTCGGTCAGAACTTAATTTTTTTTCATTTAATTTGAAACTAGATTAGTAATAAATTAATTAGTAATAATTAAAAATAAATATATTTATATATTAATACGTGTTGATTTTTTTCGAAACTTGTGAACGAAAAATGGTTGAAATCCTCTAGATTCCAGTGTGGCTTATACGTATGCAAAAAATAAGTGTGGCCTGCGAGAGTTAAAAAAAATAGTATTAAATGTTTATAATATTACTCATTAAATAATACATTTAATAATATTGATTAATATTGTAACAAGTATAATATTACCAAATGGATATGTATTATATTTTTAAAATAGTCTTTTTAAGTGTAAGTATTAAAAAATATAAAAAATATATATATATTGGTTAGATATAGGTGGGTTAAAAGCGACCAAGAGGAGTCTTCCGTTAGAAAATTTCGTTGAGGGCGTTTCTCTTTATCGCGAGATTTTGCCCATAACGTTAGTCTGGCAGGAAATATCGATTATTGGTTAGGTATCTCTCTTTTTCGCGTGCAATCTATAAATATTGTATGGGTTCTAAAAGTGTCTGTTCATTCTCGCGAAAATATGTGCTGGGGTATCTCGATGTATGCGCGATGCAGGGTAGAATTTTAGGATTAATATGTTTTTAAAAAAGGTTACCGTTATACATAAAATGCGTCTAGTAAAATAATAATTTTTTTGGTGTATGAATTTTCTTATTAAAATTGCATAGTTGTAAGTGTTGTAACATATTGATTTCATAAAATGCAAGTAAATATTCTTATATTTCAAAAATGTTATTGCAAGACAAAAAAATACAAATATAATTGAGAAATATATTTTTAAGAAACGTAGAATACAGGATAAACTCGGGTAAGATGGCCATAGAGGAAAGATGGCCAACCTATGTTCTTTCAATCTAGCTCGCTATGAAACATCGAATGAACATGAGTTGGCCATCTTTCCTGTATGGCCATCTTACCCGAGAGTTTACCCTATATTATATTTTAATTTATTTTATCCAAATTATATACGAAAGAAAAACATTTAGAAGAGAACTGTTATAGATTCGAGAATCAAATATTTTGTAACTTTGTAAGATAGGACTGTAAAAATATTAGATAATAACATTCGATAAACTCACGGAGAAAATTTTATAGTAAATATTACTATGATGTCGCACTAGCTGCGGACCATCGAGGAATTTCAAGTTAAAATACTATAATTATTGTTTTAAAAACGATAAAATAACGTAATTTTTACCATAAACATAGTAATTTAACTTAAAATTCCTCGATGGTCCGCAGCTAGTGCGACACCATAGTAATATTTACTATAAAATTTTCTCCGTGCTTAAATTTTTGCACTATTATTTTCGAAAATTTTTATCACAAGTTTTATATATACATATGTATATATATATATACACATGTTTAAATAAAAATTGGCTAATCTACTGAATGCTGCACTCAGGTATTTTTTGGCTAAAAGAAAATTTGGCACTGATGCAAACAGTAAAAAGAGAAGCGCAACAGAATGCAACGTAGTGACGTGCATTGCGTGAATATATGCTTTTTTTTAAATATAAGATATTTGTTTAACTCATATTTACTTATATAACCTTCCACTAAACTTCCTCCTCGATTTCATTGAGTTTTCTTAGCAAAGTGCATGTCTTAAGCGTTTCCTTGGTTTCTTCAAGTATCAAATTATGTACATATAGAAAGTCGATTCTGCCAATATTAGTTAATAATTGGGACATATTATTTGTACATTATGAATTCACGGTTTGTCATGTCATATCATTATCGAGACATGTATTGTAACAAGTATACATAATTTATATTAATTATACAAATTGTGCATAATTACTGATAACAATGCACATTATGTAATTTATCTATATCTTGCATAATTGTTATATTACGGATTTATTCAAAAATATTATACAACAATATAAAAAGTAAAAGCTTTAAAAATTATAAATATCTATATTCATATATATATATATATATATATATATATACACACATGAAACAATAGATAAATTATTATTATTGATTTTGCTACATTACGTTTTCTATTCTTAATACTATGTTTACGCATGTGATATTTATTATATGATATTTATCCGACAGATGCATGCCAGAGACAGCAAGTAAAAAAGTAGCATAAACGCAAACAAAAGAATTTCTATCGGGTATTATATTACAATGAAAGAACGCTAATGAGAAATGTCATGCGATAAATGTCAGGTCTAAATTTAGTTTCAGACGGAAACGAGTATTTTTAAGTGAAAAGTGGGCGATTTGTGCGAATCGCAAAATGTATTAAGTTGTATAGATATATGTAATGTTTTTGTCAAGAGTGAAAAATCTTTAATTTGACCTTCATCTAAAAGTGTGTACCAATAGAAATTAAAACAAAAAAATACCGAGTCCAAAACAAGCAAACCGCAAACTCAGTGTCAAATAAAAACCTTGATAGCTCGCTGATTAAATATTTTCGTTTCCAACAGCAGATTGCTGTTTCGTGTATTGGCTTTATTGCGTGATGAAAGTAAATCAATAAATACTTTGAATGATGAATAAAGTGTCGAGCACAAGAAGTAGTGCGTGTCAGTTAACGTAGTGATTGTAATCAATCGTGTTTCTTCGACATCCGTAATCTGTTGGTCAATTTTATACGGTTGGACGTATTGTTATATTGCAATTCAGAGCTGCGTGAATAAAAATTGTAGATAATTATTAATTATTTCGTCATATTATAGAAAATTTTTTTATTTCACAGAAATAATAGCTCTTACACAGTGTCATATTTTTTGTGATATATTGGAATTTAGCTTCCGTTTTTGTTAAGATAAAATGAAACGTAGAAGTAATATAAATCTGTCTAGAACCTTAGTATATATATTTTTTATATTTAAAACTATTTTAGTTTTGATGTTAGGTAAAGTATCTTCTAAATAATCTTAATCCTCTTTAGGTTTTTTAGATTTATGCAACTAAAATGTAAAAACACAAACAAATGTAAAAATTTAACAAATAATTATAAACTTCGACAATATACAAAGAACAATGAAAGGTTTAAATGAATAAATAAACCACAAGCGCGCTAAAAGGATTACATGAAAAATATTTGACGGTTAAAACCTGAATGCACCAGTTACAGCATTTTTCCAGGTTGCTTTGTATTCAGCCCTTCGCTTCGTCGGTTTATCAATTTTTCGGGCCATTTGTCGCGTCGTTCTAGTGCAAATAAAGCGACGGCGACGGACGCTCCCGTATATAAAGCCGCCCGTTTATTCGAATTTCCATTTACCGCGCATATTATCATTGCCGTACAAATTTTCTCCGATTAACTCGTAATTATCCCTCTCGACCTAGGTCCCTGCCGTTCATTCCTCTGCGTCCCTCGTCCTCGCATCGATCGAATCGGATAATTATAACACTGCGGCCGGTGCTGCGGTTCGAAGGACGACGACGATGACGACGGCGATGAGGAGTGGTGTGGCGGCCGGAGTGAGAATTTCAATCTCGTGCTCGTTGGCGAATTTCGGATACTCGAGGTGCCAGCAATTTCCCCCGACGACAAATACAATTTCCAGGTAGGTACTCGCATTGAATACTGTTTACGTGGGGTTACGAGAACCCACGGGGTCATCTTGTGGAAACTATTAATGAAGCTGCGGGAGAACATTCATCCTGGCACGTATGTGTCGATGTTCTCTCTCTCTCTCTTTGTCTCTCTGTCTGTCTGTCTGTCTCTCTTTATCTCACCTTTTTTTTCTCTATCTCTCCCTCTCTTTATTTTTTTCTTGTTTTAAAATACATATTTTAAACATTTTAAATATGTAATATATCATTATGTAATATTATTTTTAATAGAATATGTTTTGGAAGTTTGGATAATATTATAACTGGTAAAGAAACACGTGCTTTTATTCGGGTCTTTTATAAAATTTGAAGAGTTCTACTTATATGTATATATACATATAAGTAGTTCGTTCAACTTTACCAACAATATATTGCTCTTGAGATTTGAAAATTATTTTTTGAAACGTCGATAAGTGTAATTTCTTACTTAAATAGGTTTCTAAGTTATATTGAAGTTGTTTGACAGTGTGTTGTGGAACGAAAAAAATCTGAAAATTTAGTAGTTGTCAAGAAAGCGAATTTTTTCCAGTTTTAGATTAAATCAACGTTATAGCATGTCACAAGGCTTCGAAGCCATTAAAGTTCAAAAGAAAGTGCTAAAGATCGAAACCCGTTTTGTGTTTTGAGTTATTTCAGTTTAATATAATAAGGTGTAATATATATGCTTGTCCCCGTTTATGTTAAAAATAAAGAAGATAAGAGAAGAGAATGTATTGCGGGAAATCTGTTGGAAAATATTTGAATGTAATTTCAAGCACGTAAGGCGCGCTTATGATCCCCTAAAGATAATAAACGATGCTCATCAGGTGCGATATAATAGCGATATATCTGCATAATGGTATTTGGATACACGGGCTATTTGATTCATATTAGCAAGACATGACTTTCCCAGGGAGAGCAAATTTGTATTTAATTAGACGACGATTAATAAGCGCATCGTGTCGATGGGAGGTCTTTCGAAGGCAATTTTAGAGATTACGAGAAAATTAAACACAATTCAAATAATGTCCTTGTGTCGGATTTATCATATCGCGCGCTCCTACGTATTCTTCATATATATATTAGTCCGCCTCGCATTAATAACTCCCCCGCGCGGATAAGCGGATATGTCAGAGAGAGATAATTTCCAAGTAGAACGCCCAGGAGAAAACAGATTTGCGACTAATTTTAGAGTACAAGTATAATCGGACTAAAATCAGTCTTGATAACAAAATCCTTATCACGGAAATGAGAAATATGTTTTTTCCTAAGAAACATAGCAATGACGATTAAGTTTTAGATTTATTTCATACTTTTTTCTTTTTTTTATCGCATAAAATCTTTGTGATAATAAATTTTTCCAGATAACATTACATATTAGAAAAGATAAAATTATTTTAACAATTTTTTTTTAAGTTATTGTGTCAAAATAATAAGCTTACTACTTGTATTTGCTTGATATTATAAATTATGTGGAATATGTAACAGTTTGGAATTTTTCCAAACATTTTCTATATTTGAATATTTTTCATTGTAAAGCTTAATGCAAGCCAATTTTATTCTAAAGCCAAATGACAAACTTTGAGCATGATTTTGTTTGATCTCTGCAAATTATACGAAATATGTAACAATTTAGAATTTTTCCGAAAATCCTGTATTTGAATAGTTTTTATTGTAAAGGTTAATGCAAGCCATTTTTTTTTCCATTGTAAAGCCAAATGACAAATTTTGAGCATGATATCTTGCTTGATTTTGCAATGCGAAATATGTATATAGGCTTAGAATCTTTCTGAAAATCTTGCATTTGAATATTTTTTATTGTAAGGCCTAATGCAAGATAAGAAATTTGAGAGAATGAAAATTGACTGTACAAATTGCTTCTTGAATTTCGCTGCATGGACAAATATCGATATCTAACGTATATGTATGTACCTCTGAAATCACTCTATTCGAATATCTCCGTCATAAGGGATGATCGCTCTATCGCGATGTGCGCGTAATGGTATTTCGCATTCGAGAGTCGTTGGATGCGGATTCCGCGGACGTCAACGACGTCGCTCACGACGACCGCATTTCCTCGGTAAGTAATCGGGATTGAGTTACGACAGTTACGTCATTGCGTTAGCAATCGTGAGTAGCCACGAGTGATCCCGGGAAATCTCTAATGAACTGGAAACAATTAAAAAATTTTTCCTTTTCAGGCATTTGTTTTGCTCGTCTTTAGACGTCAGAATGAATTTTTTCTTCATCTTTTACGCCATTGTTCATTCACGTCTCTTTGCAATTAGTTCTTAATTCTAACAATATTCAAGTGTTCTTATAACTGAGCAAGTCCTAACTTTTCTTAATTCGTTTTTGGCTTGATAGTTTATACGAGAATATTTGTGTTACAAATGAAAAATTATTATATTACATTGAAAATAATCATATTATCATTATTTTCCACATATATGAAAGAACGTTTTAATATATTACATAGAAATGGGTGAAAAACCAGATATATCTACTAATGTTAACGTAGAATCAACAGTTTAGAAAAGTATATAGAGACTTACTTAGATAAAATCGAGCACTGCTTAAGATAAATACACGGTAATTGCATTTAGAACTTGAATGTTGACTCAACATTCTGAACATTATGTTACTTTGGTTGTACATAATATATTTATTAATCAATCAAGCTCATTAAATTTAGAATTAGGCACTCACTGTTTAGTTAAATATGCAGCAAATAAATAAAAACGTATTTTTGCAAAAAAATTGTGTAAAAATAGCCTCTGAAAACATTATTGCTAATTTAATCAGGATATAATGCAAAATGCAATATTATTGAGCGCAAAGTGTTTGACGAATGCAATTAATTTCATCATAGCACTCATCGGGTGTTATAAACTAACAAATTATTTATTTCTAGAAAACATATATAGATATAATAAGATTTTTTGACGAATATTTTAGAAATAATTATAATTTATGAATAAATGCCTGACTGCCACTATTAGATCACAGATAAATTGCGCATTTCTGGTAGATTGCTCTCGAAGGTTAATCAGATTAATAGTTTTCGATCAGATTAATAGTTTTCTCATTCAAGTTAATATCATCAACAGAAATTCTCAAAAGCCAAATTTTAAGTCAAACAATCAGTTTGAATGATATTTCCTCATATAATATTAGCTCATAACTAAAAAAATGTTAATGATCTATTGTTAATGATCTGTTGTTAATGATCAATTGTTCTGTTTCTCTTTTTCTATCTCTCTCTCTCTTTAACTTATATATTTATCTTATTAGAATGAAATAAAAAAAAGAGGAGAACATATATTCTTTGAATTTGTGTCGAAAACTATTTTCTGTACTGTAAAAAGTAGGTAAAACTATTTCTCTACAGTGAAAGAAAGGAAAATAAAGATACGGGATATACGAATATCCTGATCATAAGATCGTAAGACAAACTGATCTGATAGGGGACATTCGATCACAGTTCAGGATCGATACAAATGTATCGTAATCGTATTTAGGATTCGCAGATCTGTCTGGTTCGATTGGTCGAACCGAACTGAATGCTCTCGTAGTTTGATCAATACAAGTAGCGCGCAGGCGTTCTCGGCATGGCAAATGGAAACACGAGGCTCTCTCCTTTTCCTATTCACGTCTGATCAGAAACAGCTATAGACGGTAAGAAATGTGTACCGGGGAAAACGTGTAAGAAGATACATAGCTGAAATACAGTTGATTTTTTCTTGCCACAGCACACTTCAATCGGCTATTATCGAGAGAAGAAAGAAATAATCTGCAAATTAAAAACATATACTTTTTCGTTCTCAACATACAAGTTAATTGTTTTAAGAATGATTTAAAATTTGTTTTACCATCAAGAGTGGTAAAGAAATTATTGCAAATTAATTTTTTGGATATAAGAATTATTTGTTTAAAATTAAAATACGATAGAAAACCCATTTTTAACTTTATTATCCCTTTTGATAGAAGGGTTAAATTGAAAGATAGGATATTTTCGATATATCTGGAGAAATGAAGGAATGACGTATTTGTCAAATGCACTTATCAATTGGGCCAATCATATTGGTGTCAGCGAGGAAACCCCCAATCACGGCATTTCAAGATGATAAACCTTCTCTCATCATTGAGACTACGATTGATTTACGATGTCCTCGGGATATCAATTACCGGCTTGAGATAACATTTTGTTTTGTCAATGTTCCTCCCACACAGCTATAACCGTCGTGCAAATTTTCCGCTTCGTCTCGTCGATATCGCGTATTACGTTTACTCAGTCCTATGAGAAATGATACAAACAGAATTTCTCGATGGCACAACTCATAAATCCCCAATCGTATCTTTTACCATAAATTTTATTATTAGGAAACGTATTTTGGGGATCGTATCGTTGTTCGTGAGATGATGGTAATGGAGAGGAGTATGGTTGGATAGATGTATGATGTATGTGTGCGGTCTGTCGACACACATATAATAAATGTTTATATAAATTATTTTCAATTTTATCAGATTATAATTATATATATTTTATTTGCGATCTCTTAATTGTAATGACAGATTTTTCTTCTGTGACTAACTTGAAATCGACTTTCTTTCAGCAAAAATATTGAAAGAAATTAATTTTTTTTTAAATTTTTTAATTTTTGATATTGCATATTCTCTTTTGTGATTAGATTTAACAATTATTATTCTATTAAAGTAAAATTTCAAAGTAATTTTATCTATTTTGAAGTAATTTAAAAATATGATTTTGTTATCTATTTGTGCCTCCGACATTTAAGAAGCTTTTCTTGCAATTTGTAACGTACAATCAGAAAAACTGTTGGTGCCTTAGCACTTTCGCTAAGAAAAAAAAAATTTGACTTTTTTATGACATAATTTAAAATTCTTATTAAAATTAAAATCGAGTTGTGTAAATTAAATATGTTAATAAACACGTTTATCGTGACGCATA